AGAGTGATTATGTGCCGCTTCCAGCTAGAGGTTAAAAGGGAGACAAACATCCAGACAGGCGGACGTGGTGATGGGCGTGGGTGGGGAGACGATGGCAAGACAGGGGAAAGGGCCGTCAGTCGGGTTGAGGGGCTGAGCGAGGGAGGAAGGGCACTGGAAGGGTCTACAGGCTAAAGAGATAACACTGATGACACGACAGGGGTAGGGTGGTGAGCGGATGGGGGGGGTGGGAGGTTCTCACCAACGGCCTGGGGAGAGATGAGGTGGCAAAAGAGGGCGCTGAAGAGGATGAGAGTTAGCGGGAAGGTGACCCAGACCAGGTACTGCAGAGGCAGGCTGGGCTGCATCTGGTAATAGGTCCACTTGTAGGCTGCAGAGACACGTGCCTGAGCTCAGTCCCAGCGTGGCGGGATGTCACCGCACCCCCATGGCGCAGCACATCACAGTGTGCAAGGAGCGTCCTCACGGCCTGGCCATCCCGTCTGACCTCACCACACGGTATTGTTCTCACTGGACACAAGGGAGCCCGAGTTGTGGGAGGTGCCGTGACCTGTCCAAGTGCCCACCACTTGTAGGAGGTAGAGTCCGCGAACCCCACTTCTGAGTGCTGGGACTGCAGGCTGCCCCAGTTTGCCCAGAACCTGGGGTGGGGGGAGGGTGCCTGGGACTCAGGGTGGTCAGTGCCCAAACCAGAAAAGCCCTGGGGAAATGGGGATGAGCTGGTCACCCTATTAGAGGGGCACCCACAGGTTGTATGGCAGCAGCTGAAGGGGCAGAAGTGCATCTGGGTCCGGGTCTTCTTCTTCAGGCAGCAGCTGAAGGGGCAGAAGTGCATCTTCTCCTGGGCCAGACCTCCTCTGTGCAGCGCCCCCCCTCCCCCAAACATGCCCAGCTTATCCCAGGCAGGAACTCTAGAAACTCTAGGAACCGCTGTGCGAAGAGAGGCTGAGGGTAAAGGACCAGGTTAAACCTACCCTGAAGGCTTTTGGCACTGACATAATCCATGCTCCAGCTAACCAGAGCCATAAGCAGTCCCAGGAGCACCAGAAAGATCCAGTCTTCTCCTAATTTCCTTCTTACCACGTGTCCCAGGCGGCGCATACAGTCTGGGAAGAGGGAAAGACAAAAAGAGCGGCTAACCGGTCACTGCTCTGGGCTGTGACTGAGGACAGGAGCAGAGGAGCTGGGCCCCTGGGGTCTTGTCTACCTCTGCACCTCATTCACTGGGTTTGCCCATGGGATACCTGAGTTCTTTCTAACCCTCCTTTCCTGGGGGTGGCTGGGAGGGAGAGGAGGGAGCCAGGCAGGGTGAGAGGAGGCAGAGAGAGATGCCTTTCCCTACTGCTTGGAGGGGGGCTTGGGTGTGGGTGAGGGGAGGGCGGAGAGTGAGCTACAGGCGGTGGGGATGTCCCAGTTCTCCTAATCCCTGCGCCTCCTTCCATTCCAGATCCCTTTATTCCTCAGTCCCCGTCACCTTGACATTTAGAAGAGTGATCCTCATCCTTGCTGTCCAGGCTGTCACTGGAGCCCGTCTTCGGGGGCATCCCCATGCCCTGCTCCTTGTGCGGGGGCTGCTGTTTGTGATGGCCATAAATCTGGACACAGGGGGAATGGAAAACGTCTGTTTTGTTGGAGTCCGAAGGAATAGACGGAGCGAAGCACCCAGACCCACAGAGGAAACAAACAGCTTTTTAAATTCCTGGGCGTTGAGAGCCTCACGTAGGGTCACTTTGTGGTGGTCCCTGCCCTCAATGCTCCATCTACACACTCCCACTCTGGACGCCTTTACCCCTGTACCCATCCTCACCCCACCTCTGTCCTCATCTTGATGGATGGCAAGGAGGCCAGCTTCTACTCTAAAGTGGAGACACAGGAACTCTGCTAAGACGGGGCATCCGTGTCAATCAGGTGTTTTATGTGTGACCCAGCTTACTGTGTGTCAGCCTCTCCCTACTATCCCAGACCCCCCTTCTCTGCCTGGCCTCCCTCCTAGGAATCCTGACGTGGACCAGCAAGGACAGACTAGCAGGGGACTCTTGGTTTCTCTTTGCCTTGGTGTGTCTGGCCTCTCTTGAGGCCCCTCAGATGCTCTCTCAAGTACAGAGGAAGCCCACCCGCCTCACCTCCCTGGGCTCATGTGCACAATCAGGAAGCAGTCCTGGTAAGGCACTTCCCATGGCAGGATTACTAGACGCTCACACTATGGGGAGAGGACACAGCGGCGCCCCTCAGATCTGGGAGCCCTCCGCTCTCATCCCCATGGAGAACACGTGTGTTTGGGGCCGGGGGAGCAAGGCCTCTCACTGCTTTTGGTCTGTCCTCCCCCCCTTCACTAGCTCCGTCCTCTGGGGCCAGGGTCAGGCCAGGTCGTGTTGCCAGTTCTGGGAGAGCCTGGGTGGGAGAGATCCGATTTCACAATATGAGCAGCAGAGTTTACGCCCCAGTTCTGGACAGGAGCACACTCTTTGCCCAGCTCATGGCTGTTCTGTCTTCTGGGATGAGGTGGGTGACTGAGCGAGACAGTGTGTCCCTCCCTGTGCTACCTGGCCCCAGAGAGCAGACACTCCCCCTGTGGATCAGTGCATGTTCCTCCACCTGCTGTTTCAGCTGTCTGGGGCCCCAGGCTGGTGGAGGCAAGGAAGGGGGTGTGGAGGTGAGGAAGGGGGTGCTGCAGACCAAACCCTGGCTGGGAAACACCTGAGAGAGCCAAATCTGTGCCGGGTGTTTCAGGGCGAGGCACCGCATCAGAGCAGAGCTAGGGGAAGGGAGGGACAGCTCAAGTGTGAGGGGGGTGCTGGGATTCACGGGTGTGTAGGGGTGAGGCTGGGAATGGGAAGGAGAGGTGAAGCAGTGTAGACACAATATCGGTGATTGTTGAAAGCTGGGTAAGGGGCATTTGGGGGTTCATTACATGGGTCTATTTTTTAAGTTTGGAATTTTCCATAATAAAAATGAAACAAAGAAAAACTTAAGTCCAAACCTCTCTTCTTTACTTTCAGGCCAGCTCTACTTCTGAAATTAATTTACCATTCTTCTCCATCACGAAGCTTCCTGCTACTTTGTCGCCGCGCCTTGACGGCATTTCACTCGCCCCACCCCACCGAGGCATGTGGTGACCGGTGAGAGGAGCAGGGCCCTGAGGAGGGGCCTTTCTGTCCAATCCCGTCTGGTGTTGCAAGGCCAGGCCAGGCCCCACCTTCTCCGGGAAGACCCTCTCCCCGCACTCACCATTCCCATCTCTCCTGACTTTGTGTCCCCACCCCCACTGATTCCCCAGGGGTGCCCTTAGTAACCATCTCCGTCTCCGGGATGATGCGGACTGCTGCGTGGATCCTCTCGTCCCCCAGTGCTGACATCACCTGCACAGCCACCCCTTGGTTCCCTGCCCTGTCTGCATCCCCTCATCACCCACCCCTCCCCGCCATCTTTAGCTAAAACACGTGCACACACATTTCCTCACGGATCACCTGCTAGTTTATCTGCGGCAACCTCGCAGGCTTTCCTTCATAGTTGTGCCGTCAGTCCCCTTTTCTGTGCTAGATGTCCACAGCCCACCCATCCGGATGCCCGCAGTGAGCTCACTAGGAATGCACACCTCTACCTCCCCGGGGCGGGGCGCCTACAACCTGATGGACTCCTACCTGATCGACCTTCCCACCCAAAAGTTAGGCTGCGGTTCTTCTGCTCATTTTGACCCTGGTGTACCTTTGATCACTGATCTGCAATCCAGTTCGTTTTCTCCACTTATCCCAGCACCTTTCTTCTGCCTTGTGCAGAAGCGTTTATTTGTGCGCGCACTGCAGAGGGTCAGCAGGGAGAGAGCTGGTGGTGTCTGCGTGGGGGTGAGGGAGTAAGAGGCAGCTTCACACAGAGGTGTGGGCTCCCACGCCAACCACTCTGGGCAGGTTATGTAAGCACGGGCTAGTCAAGCCTGTGTGGCTATGCCTTTCCCCCCTAGGATTCGGGTGTCCTGTTAGTCAGGGTTATATAAAAAAAGGGGATGGGATCTCTATAAACGCACGCTTAGCTGAGCTCAGCCCTTTGAAGGATTTTCGTATTTTGAACACATCACCATGTACTTTTTAAAGTTAACACAACACTTCTCCCGCTTTCACCTGATTCCTCATTCACCCACCCCCAGCCGTCACACAACTGTGCCCTGGATTCCACCACCCCCTCCCCCTTGGACTTTACCTGTGTGGGGCGGGTGTTGGGACGGGGGCCTGCGTCCCTCCGGAGCCTGTGCTGAAGGGCCCCATTTTCGGAGGGTAGTCCGTAGCTGGTGCAGTGCTCAAAAGGCATATACTGGTACTGGGGGGCACTACCCCACCAGCTTTGCTCCCCCCCACGCCGCTGGGACTCCGACCGCTCCATGTGCCTTCCCTGGGGCAGGCCTTGGCCTGCTCGCCCCGGGGCCTCCCCCAGTACAGCTCCTTAAGCCTGTCCTCTTGCCTGTCCCCAAGGCGTCTGGGGCAGCATGCCCACCCCCAGCTATTTATAGCCATCTCTCCGTCACATGACCCCCCCCATTGCCACATCTGATCTGCTTGGGGTCGAAGCAGGTGTGAGAGGGGTGCGGGGGAGGGGTTGGGACAAGAACCTGAGGGACAGCCCGCAGGGAATTCCCTCAGCGGGGGCCAGCAGCCCTGTCCCCTCCATAGTCACAAGGAGGCTTCCAGCCCCAAGCCACTGGGCCCCCTATAAACATCGCCCAGACCAGCATGGAGAGGGGCTCTGCACACTCAGACCTGTGTGTTCCCGGGGGCACCGGATCTGCACCCTTAGGGTGTCCTGCCCTCACTTCCCCGAGGAAAGGTGAGGGGTGGGTGCTGGACGGAGGGATCCGGAGAATAACTCACCTGAGGGAGTAACTGGTGCCTCTCTGCCATCTTTCCCTGTCCAGTTGCTCCCAGCTCAGTATCTTCCCAAGATTGAGTCTTCATCTGTGGGGCCAACTCTCCCATCCCGGCCAGTTTTCAGGTTGCCCCTCCAGCTTTGCTATTTCTATCTGCCAGAGGCCGCTAATAATGCTTTGGCGTCATCCCCTTGACGCCACTCATTACCCACTGGGTGTGGGAAGCAGGGGTAACAGCCTTGGGTTCTGGCCTTTCTCCCACTTCCCAGACAGATATGTCAGTCACACCAGAAGCCTGGACTCTCGGGGAGGAACGGAGCCTCCATGTAGACTATGGAGCACCTGCCTAGGTCTGTCAGGGCAGGTTAGATAACACGGGAGAAGGAGAAGTGGGTCAGGGGCATGGGGTGGGTGGGGGGGGAAGGGAGTGTCTCTCATCATGAGCCCAACAAACAAAAAGGATGACGGGGAAGTTCTCTGCTACTCCTCCTTTTCGGTTCAATAAATAAGTTTTGGCCAAGGCCCAACTACCCTATCTGGTGTCTTTTTTTTTTTTTTTTTTTTTTTTTTTTTAAGCCAAGTTTCCTAGGACATTCCTTCCCCTGTGAACTCCTCACTATAGAAGAAAAGTTACAAACATGAGCCAACACATAGTTTAGAATTTGTCACCAAGTGGGGTCCGCCCCAGGGTATTCCAAGTTCAGGGACTGCAGGGTACTGACACCAATCACTTGCTCTGCAATTAAACCTTGACCTCGGCTAAATGGCACTGTCCAAAGCAGGGGAGGTGGATGCCATTAAAAGCACGTTTTCTAACACCAACCCTATGAGCTCGAAGGCTTATAATCCACCGCCAATGATTACAAATGTGTGCTGGTGTGGGGGCCTGAAGGCTGACAGATGCCTTCTCTGCAGGCAGAACGTAAGGAAAGAGATCTAATGATTTGGTGTAAGATGAAAGAATAGAGTGCCAAAGTCAAAATAGGTTCTTTGGGGGAGGGGGGAACTTTAGAAACAGAAAACGTCGTCACGCTTGAGAAGGGCTCTCCTGAATGTAGCCAGTTTCTATAGACACTCAATAATCCTGACAAACAAGTATCTAACACAATTACTGTTTCTTCATGCTTCCTTAGAAAATCAGGACCTGGTTATAGATTCCAGGATTTGAAGGCAGAGAGATCAGTGGGACTGGGAAAATCCACACTCCACCAAGCCAAGTAGAAACACCAGCTTGTGAAGTAGAAAAACCAGATTCTGAAACTGGGAGAGTCAAGGCAACCTACTGCTGCTAACGCTGAGGGCAGGGATTTGTGAGTAACTTGAGTCTGACATTAGAAATTGTTAATATCTCATGGGTTGCCATCTTTAAGAGAACAAGAAAATAAAATGTCAGGGTGCCTGGATGGCTTGGTTGGGGGAGTGTGCACCTCTTGATTTGGGGTTGTAAGGTCAAGCCCCATGCTGACTGTAGAGAGTACTTAACTAAAGTCTTTAAAACGGAGAAGAACATGTAAACTATGACCACCCCCTACCCATAGGTACAATGCTTGGGTCCTTATTCGGAAGATGGGTTTCTGGGGAGTTCTGTGAAAAGCTCCACAATCTGGAAACAAATTTATAAGCATGCACGCATTCTAGAAGGTATGTATACTGTGTAAGGAATGAATTATTCTGGGGTTTTGAATATATTTTTTTAAGCTTATTTTTTTGTTTTTGAGAAAGAGACAGTGAGTGGAGGAGGGGCAGAGAGACGGACAGAGAGAATCCCACACAGGCTCTGCACCATCAGTGTAGAGCCTGATGCAGGGCTCAAACCCACGAACCGGGATATCATGACCCGAGCTGAAGTCGGATGCTTAACCAACTGAGCCACCCAGGTGCCCCTTGAAGAGATTTTCTTGGGGTCTACGATACTAAAAAGTAAAACCTATAGGCTTATGGAATTGCTATTTGAAGGGAGGTTGCCAAAAATGACCATATGGGACACATGTGCAGGGGAAAGTGTGTGTTAGAGTACAGGTGGGTGTGAACGAGCCACTGCCCGCCCCCTCACCCAACAGCTTCCCATCAACTGAAGCATGAACTTTCTCTCTGGGTTACAACCTTGTTTTCAGACCTCTTCAAATCCAGCCCCCCAGCCCGCTGGACAATGCACCATTACATTGTCTTTAACAGCCTCCAGACATCACTTTCCCTCTGCACATCTAGTCTAGCATCAAACCCATGACCACATGCTTTTGTTTCACCTAGGCAACTGTTAACTCTGCGTCCCACCCCGCCAAACCGCACACACCTTCTAATTGTACTCCCTGGTAGTAGTAGCTTCTCTACTCCCCATTGGACCCCCCCCCCGCCCCGCCCCAGATCTTTACAAATACTTGGTCCCTTCCAAGGCCTGCATGAGGCCTTCCTGATAGCACTGGAGAGGTCTCTTTCCCTTCTGGTTTCTCAAACATGATACACTTGTTATCTATTCTCTACCTAAATAGTGCAAAGATGGGATAGTCTCTGGTCTCAGGCTTATTTTCCCAGCCCAGTGGGAAAAATCTATAACCCAAAAAAGTGAAGAGGAAAAAAAAAATCTCATGCTAGGAAGTCACAGAAGTCATATTGTTAGTTAAGAGCATACATTAAAGCTAACATTTTGTTTCACATCCTGACCTCAGTTTCTTTAGAAAGGCAGTAACTTAGAGGGTTATGGTAATAAGAGAATGCATGCAAAAAACTTCTAGTGTTTGCCCGCATAGCAAGCACTGAATATGAATGCATATTATTGAACTGAAGCTCATTCTGCCAGAGTTCACAATTCTCAAGCATTTGTAATGCATTAATACTGTGTCACCACGCATCATACTCAATCCTCATGGGGACCTTTTAAGGGAGAACACTTTTCATTTTCAGCTAAGGGAAACCGAGGTTCCAGGAGGCTAGGTAACTTAGCCAAGGTCTCCAATACCTCAAAAGGCTGAGCCAGCATTCAAAATCTATTTAATTGTAGACTTCATGGCCTTCAAGCTACGTTTCTTCCCTTTTTTGTGTTATTTGAAGTCTGAGCCTCATTTTCCACATCTGAGAAAACAAGTGGAAAATGACCAGCTCATGCGCCCGCAGGGAGGGTGGCCTGTGAAGGTGCACGTGTTCCTGTCTCCCTCTTCGGTCCAGGCGCCTGCCCTGCCCTCCCCTAATATCACGACTCTGCTCTCATGGCCCAATTTCCTCTTCCCCCTTAAGAGGAAGCTGGATGGAGGAGAGCTGCAGAGAAGGGCAGCCCCCAGCTCAGGGAGGGGATAATTTTAGCAGAGAATCCCTGGCAGAGGTAAGCAGGGGGGAAGGGAGGGGAGCTGTGAAATTCAACCTGATACTCATTCAAGGGCGGGGCGGGAAGGACATGCAATCCAGGTCAGAAACCTCGCTACTGCGCTGTAATTCCCAAACTAGCACCCCCACAAAGCAGCTCTCCCCTGCTGAAAATGGGTACTTTGCTTACTCCCACTGTTCCAGTAATTTCCTAGCCTCTCTGAAACTTTGTATCCCTTCCTCTCTTGAGGACGGCCCCTTTTCCCTTGGGATGCAGCCAACCAGGGTCAGCAGGCTTTTCATGCCCTTCCCTGTTGTTCAGCCAACTCCCGCCCTCCCCCTGGTGAGGTGCTTCAGCTCAACTCTTTTTGCTCTTTCCCCTCCATATCCCTCACCACTTCCCCCCAGGTCCCACTGATGCCTCCCACCACGAGGTTCCTGCGGAATCTCTCATCTCTCACTGGGCCCATATGCACTCGCACACTTGCCTTTCCAGGCACACACTTTAGATACACTGCGCCCCAAGGATTTTCTAACCTACAGAGCCCAGTGCTTAGATCTCCTTCACGCTGCACTGAATTCTCTTAAAATCCGTGTCCGTGCTACAAAGCCTTAAATCCAGCTTGGGACCATGTAAATTCTATAATCGTGACCATCCTCCTATTCCAGTCCAATCTCTTTCTCCAGCTTTCATCCCATAATCTACATAATCCAGAAGCAACAATGCTTGCTAATGACTCTTTGGTCTCATCTGACAATAAGAAATCCCAGTGCCACTACATTTTGGGCAGTTGCCTGTGGCCAAGACAACTCAGATGGGCCCACATCTGCGTATGTAATAAAGATCATGCAGCAGAGTAACAAAGGTGCTCGGCTCTGTGTCCAGCTCGTAAGGTGGTGAGGAATGCTGTAAGGGGCTAAGGAAATGAGAATACGTGGGCTTTAGAAGATTATCTGTGGAAACAGAGATGTTGGCATACATCAGTAATAAATATGAGCGTTTATTTGGCACCTGAAAGCATATAAAATCCCGGCAGTGGGAAGTGGAAAGGTTCTATCACCCGAATACTTCCATATTTCGACCCAAGGGTAGAACTCCGCAACAAGTCTCCAAACCACCTGGCTCACCAAACAGGTATTTATTGAGCACCTGAACTACTACAGGCTGGGCACTGTGCCAGGTACCACAGGAGATAGAGGGCATCTGTCTTCAAGAGCCAACAGTATCAGTGAACAAAACACATGGAAAAATCTAGAGTATAAATACTAAACTTGTGTATATTTTAAAGGGAAATTTTGTCCCAAAACATTTATTGAAGACCTATCCTGTGCCAGGCACTGGGTACATACTGGAGAACAAAAGAGACAAGGTTTCCACCCTCAGGGAGCTTATGACCTAGTTGGGGAGACAAATGAAGTGAAGCAAGCAAACACATAATTATAAATTGTGCTAAGTGCAATGAGGGGATTAAACAGGATATAGTAATAAGGAAACATGGAAGATTATTTAGAGATAGAAAGGTCTTGGGAAGGTGGCATTTAGGCCACGACTTGAGAGGAGTGGAGCTCAGGAGACCCCAGAAGAGTGTCTGCGATGGTCCAGGGCAGGGAAAGAGCTCAGAATGTTTGAGAAACTGAGGAAGGGGCTGGGCTGTCACTAAGAGGGAAATCAGCATTTTGTGAGGTCCAAGCCGGGGCCCCGCCCGGGGGGGGTTGTTGGAGCCCTGCAGGCCAAGGTTAGGAGTTTGGACATTACTTGAGGTGTAACAGAAATTCGAGCAGGAGAGTGACCTGATCAGATTTATAAAGACCCCAAACGAAAATCTGCCATATAGAGATTAGATTGGAGGGGGCAAGAATGGAAGTACAAGAAGAGGCCTTGAAGAACAGGGAAGCTTCATATGGCACACATGATAACGCATGTAACAACAGTCTCTCTAAAATGGAGACATATGGCAAGGGAAACAGGCCATATAAAATCAAAAGGGGATTTGATACTGAAACAGAAAGCAGGAACAAACTACTACATGACATCCTTGAGCAGCCAAATGATCCAATTAAGTAGTATTTTAGACAGATTTGGTGGCAGCCATGAAAGGAAGAGAGGAGAAAAGGGGAGAAACAGGAAGTAGGGAGATAACAACTAGGACGCTTTTTAAAAGGGACATTTCAGAGGAAGAAAAAGTTGATAAGGGGACAGGTTATGGAGTATGAGGAAGCATACCACTCTTATCTGCCTCTGCTAACATTCTCCGCGAGGCTCATTTCAGTAAAAAAGCTGAGAGAGAGAGAATAACCGATTAAAAGATCTTTGGAACCTCCCTGGGCAAAGATCAACGAGTTCTAGGTACAGGGCATCCAAGCTGTAGCCTCTGCCAAGAGGCTGGGTTCCTTGAGCCTCAAGGAGCCAACAGTGGAGAACACGGGCCTTCCACTGGGTGGCCCCGTGGTGCCGCAAGGGGCGCACAAGTCACAACCACACATACAGTGGCACAGTGTGCGTTTAGTCCCACCTGCCCTCTTGAGGCTAAATGAAAAATGCCTCTGTTGAATCCAAACTCTCAGGCGGAGAGAAACGGGGTTGGGATATGAAAGAAAGACAAGACAGGAGATGGCCTCTGAAACATCTTAACTAATAAAAACAACTAATAAAAGCAATTACCAAAGTGCTGTCTGTAAAAGCCCTGAGGGCGGGAACCAAACACCAGCAGCGAGGCAACCCACGTGCCCTCTCCCCATCAAGACCCTGTGTTCACAACATCATCCGCCAGGCGCCTCTACAGTAGCCAGACACTCCCGGCAGCCAGGCCAGCCAGAGCCCGCTCTACATGAAGGGAGCTTCAGCAAGACCGCTGGCCTATGGTCCCTGGAGCTAGAAGACCGGGAGGAGCCGATGAGGGGCGTGGTGTGCCACAAGCCTGGGAGATTCCCAATCCCTGAGGGGGAACAGAAACCGTGCGTCTGAAGAGAAAAGGCCCGGTGGCCTCCGTGCCGACAAGGATGGCCTCATGACAAGGATGGCCTCACGTGGGAGGGTGTCCCGGGAACAGGTAGAGGTGCCGGCACAGGGTGCTACAGTACTCAGACATCTCCTTGCACCGGTGGAACTCTGTGCCGGGGGCATAGCCTTCACGCTCCTTGATAAGTGCGTTCACCTGGAAAGACAGGAACCAGTAGTCCAGAGTCTGAGAATCTGGGGTTTGCACAAGAGGAAGGGTAGGGAGGCTATGAAAGATGGTGCAAGGGAGGATGAGGAGGAAGGGGGAACACGGCGCAGAGGCTACTCACCGTAACAAGCATGTCGGCCACGTGCGTGTCACAAGCCCTCTCAGAGAACACTTGAGTGAGGGCCTCAATGTACCAGGAGCCCCGCTTGGTGTTCCGCATGGCAGCAGTGCCTGCAACCGGGATGGTATTAACCACACTGCGGAGGTCACGAGACACCTCACGCAGCTGGGTGTCCCAAAGTAGACTTCCGTGGTACCCTGTACCCTCCCCAGTCAGAGAGCCCAGCACGCGAAAGAGCACGTCTAAGAGGGTGCAGCCTCGGACTGTGGCTGGGGGCTCAGGATACCTCTGAGGCAGGCATAGCCGCAGATCATGTCCGAGCGCGTGGGCAGTCGGGTCTTCAGCAACTCCTTGCTGTCATCGCTCTCCTCGCACTCGGAGGACCCCGCGCGGTTCTTTCCGTCTTGCTGGTCAACCCCACGATCTGTTTCATCTGTAGCAACGGCAGACAGGACGGACAAACATGTTATTTCCTCCCATTGCTCTGGGGCCTGCCACAGGCAAGCCAAAGTTCCCTATGGCCTTGACTGGGAAGAGCCATTTCCAGCTGTTGCCTCCGACTTCTGGCTGCTGAAATTAAAAAACAAAACAACAAAACCATTACTCCCATCCCTGCCCCAGCACGCGTCCATTCCTCGGGGGAGCACCCAGAGGCCCGGCACCACGCTCAAGTATCTGCACATATGCAAGGTACAGGGTCTGAGCTCCATCCGTGCTGTGTAAATCACAGAGTGCTGATCAAATACTCCTTGTAAACAGAACTAAAAATCATATGCCCATGATTTACTTGTTCAATTAGCAATACACCTGCCAGTCACAGTGCTTTTTATTGCAAAACACAATTACTGATAATGCAGCTTTGTATCAAAAAAACAAGTTAATAAATCAATATGATTACATGTAGGCTATGTAAAAACCACCTCAAATCTATGTTATGAAACTGAACATGCTGTTTCCAAGGTATTTTGGTATTTTTAATTTCATAAGCCAAATTGTAGCAGGTATCCAAGATCTGAGAGAAATTTATAAAAGGAAAAACTTAAAATTGCAGTAATTTGACTATTTTCTTCTAGATAATTGAAAAAGAACACCATTATTCAATTTTAGCAGTTCCTCAACATACCCTGAGTATATCCAACCTCCTGATGCAGGCCTCCTCTGTGCCCAGACATAGTCTTATTTGGATGTTGCACTTTTATTTTGGAGGAGGGTGGGGTGAGGTCAGTAGCAGAGACAGAGACCGAGGACACCCAGCTCAACACACTTAAGCTAAGAGAGTATGCTCCTTTCCAGTACTTTCTGTTCCGTGCAACACTCAAGAGCCTAAAAGGCAAGTGAAGCTTGAAGAACTATGGTGAAATGACCAAAATTCACTGATCCCACAAACAGTTATCGAACAACTGCCATGTGCCAGGTACTGCTTTGCACTAAGCCCTAGGGATGTAGTGAAGGAGAGTCTCCTGCCCTTATGGAGCTCACATTCCACTTTGGGAGCCGGTCAACTGGGGAAGGGAGAGTAATTTCACAGACATCAATTACACGAACTAAGTGCAGGAGAAGACAGGTGAGCTCAAATCTTCAAAGGTCATCTCTTGAAGGATTTACTCTGAGAGAGAAGGTTCAGATTACCCTAGGAAAGAGCAATTTCTCCCTATCCAGCTCTGATCCTGTACACAGATCTCTGAATATAGGAGGAGAAAATGATCACGAGTATCTTCATTTCACTTTGCCAGTAATACCTCCTAAAGGAAATAGGCCAAGCTAAATGTGTTCCCTCAAGAAAAAAGAAGCTTCTTTCCTCCCTTGGTGTCTCAGATCTATTAATCAATAAGTGTTATTGCTTCTTCCAATAACACAATATCCCATCTGTTTTCTGTATTATTGCTATTTTTTTAAGGAGATTAATTTTCATCCCTTCATTCAATATTTATTAAGTACTACCATATATCAGGCAGTGCTCTGGGGCTGGGCATCCAGCTGAACAGACACTAAGTTCCTGTCCTCACATACTCTTTCCTCAGTGCAGTTCCCTAGCACGGTAATCGTCCTGGAGAAGAATTCATCACATTATTTAAGCTACCAACAGCTCCACACAATGATCTGCTGAAGTCCAAAATCTGTTTGACTAAAGATTTATCATCAGTGGCCTACCTTATCTTACTACACACCCACATAGATACCCAGTCTCTAAATCAGATCCGGGCAGACTTCCAGCCCAGCACAACATCTGGGGAAGAGTGGGGGCTGTCCTTTTTTAGTCCTGGTGTGCTTGTGGTCTTGTATTCCTGTTTCGTCTGGAAGCCCCTATTTACTACTCCACACCTATACAGATTTTATCATTTTGGGTCCAAATTAAGCCTTACTAAATTAAGTCTCTACCAAATGTGTTCAAACTAAGCCAACTTAAAACGATCTATTTCCTACTGCTTACTCCTTCACACATATGGTTTGCATCTCACTAATTTCACCCTTGCTTGAGGCCTCTGAATTATTCTCAAGCTACTTCACGTACATTTGCTTTCTCTTTCTAGTCATCGGTAGGCTATTTAGAGAGACACCACATTTTTTCCTCTTTTTTTTTAAAGAGGAGCAGTTAGAGAGCCCACACATTTTCTTTTGCCTTTGTGACAGTGCCTAGTGTAGTCACGTTGTAGAACCTTAATAAAATTATCTCCTTTGGTGATATTATGACATTATTAACAGTATTAACCATTTACATCTGTTGAATACACAACAGATAAAAAAAATTATTTGTATGTTAGGACAAAGTGACCTTTAAGCCAAACTATAAGCCCCTTGAGGCCACTAACCATGTAATAATGGTCATGGCTGGCATTTTCTGTGGATTTACTATGAGCCAGGTCCCGTGCTAAGTTAGCCCTTCAAGTGTACGATTCTATTCAATGATCACAACAACCTTACGAAGTAGGTCTGATCATTATCTACATTTTGTATGCAGGAAACTAAGGTGGAGAGACATCAAGTAACTTCTCTAACTTGACAGAACTGGTCAGTGGTAAAGTCAAAATGTGACTCCAAAGTTAGAGTTGCCCTCCAGGATGAAGAGTATGCCCGCATGTCTTCGGAGCCTAGTCCTGGAGTCCTGGCTGCAGGCGAGAAAGAAGAGGGACAGAAGTGTCTCAGGGACAAGTAAGAGACAAAGCCCGACCTGGGGCTTCTGCACTGCAACCCTGCCCGGTACAAGGATGATGAAGAGGCAACGATGGAGCGCAGGTGAAAAGACGAGAGGGGAAGAGGGATGCAGGAAGGAAAAGAGGAAGTGAAAGAGAGACAGAAGAGACAGACAGAAGTGCCTCAACTGCAGTGAGTAACAAAAGAAAGCGCAGCAGAGTTAATAGTGCAGAGGTGACAGAGTTCTCACGAAGGAAGGCAAGGCACTGAGAAAGAGTCTTGAGAAGAGGGTATGGTGGTGCACAGAGAGCTGACCAACCTGAGAGCCATGGGCTGCCCAAGTCCCAGCACACCCCATGCATCGGGAGACACTTACAGAGCAAGAGAGGCGGTGGCAGCAGTGAACAGAAGGAGGTGCCCAAGGGATCCGATAGCACCTGAGAGGAGCAAACAGGAAAGTGAGAGCTGGTGGGAGGCTGCCCAGGAGCCACCACCCGGGTGCTGGTCTGCCAGGGCACTCACCTCCACGGCAGGCCTGGATGAAGAACATTTTCGGCTTGTTCTGTAGGTTTGGGCAACTAGCGTTGTCAAAGAGCCGAAAAACCTCTTGAAGCTGCCAGAAAGGAAGGAAAAAGAAGGGAGGTTAAGTAGTCTGCAGGGCCTTCTGAGTCCTGTATTGGCCACAGCAGCCATTACAGGAGAGATGGCTAGGCAGGAGGGGAAGTCACCGAGCTTGGACAGCTGTCGGACACGAGATGACACACACCTGAAGCAGTTTGCCATCCACACCGTAGATGCCTCCCTCCACGCCATGAGAGAGGAGTGCCACTATGCAGGAGTCAGTGACACGGTGGGCAGGTAACTGGGCAAAATTCTGAAGTTTCTCTTGCATTTCCTGCAGGAAAAATACCTTTTGGTTAGTGTCGTTCACTGTAATCTGCGCCAATATCATCTTTCTTTGGTGTCTGAACCCCTGAGCTATTAGAAGACCTGATGCGTTCTATATATTATGTGGCCAACGATAACAGATGTCAGAGACCCTATGAGAGGCTAAAAAAAAGCTATGGACTCATCACAAAAATGCATGACTTCAGACACAGAATTCTGAATATAATTTCACAAAATTCAGACTCACTGAGATACGTTAAGAACTCCTGGACTAGGGGCGCCTGGGTGGCTCAGTCGGTGAAGCGGCCAACTTCGGCTCAGGGCATGATTTCGTGGTCCAGGAGTTTGAGCCCCGCGTCGGGCTCTGTGCTGACAGCTCAGAGCCTGGAGCCTGTTTCAGATTCTGTGTCTCCCTCTCTCTGACCCTCCCCCGTTCATGCTGTCTCTCTCTGTCTCAAAAATAAATAAACGTTAAAAAAATTAAAAAAAAAAAAAAAAAAAGAACTCCTGGACTAAAGCAAGTTACTAATGAAGCTAATCATTAGATAGTTAACTTTATCCACTCCCCAGTCATCAAACAAATCTTCTAGCAAATGCCCTTGTATAAAAATGACACAAGGAGGACCACCAGGTGAGTTATGAGTGAATCAAATATTTACCCAGCCATAAGGAAATAAGCTGTTCTCACTAAGGGCTAACGGGATCATGACAATAGAGAATACTAGCACTTTTATGCTATTTTCTGTCTGAGATTTTAAGTTCCCAGAAACAATGATGATATCTGTACAAAATGCTCACTTCAGGGAAGAGTGTGCTGTAAATATAATTAAGCACAGGGCCATGGCTACATACATGGGCTACAGGATCAGACAGACCTAGCTTTGATCCCTGAGTTCATAAATTAGAATCAATTATTTCGTCCCTCAAAGCTCTAATACTCATTTTGTAAGAGGGTAATTAAGAGTAAATTTTTTCCAAGTTTGTATAAAGATTAAATGATATACTGCATAGAAAGGATTTAGAATTATGACTGGCACCTACTGCAGAGATCTGCCATTATTATAATGTGCATATCTTACAAAGAGTAGCGATGTCATTTTCTGAAAGAAACCTACTACTGGTCAACCTTGTAGTCCAACTTAAGAACCTTATTTGTCATGCACCAGGTTGCCAAATGTGAGTATCACTCTACCTTAAACACTTGGCCCATCCAATGGCAAGCTATACAAAATAGTTTAATAATCCAATTTAAACTATTAAATCTAGGTCTCCCTCTACAACTAGAGAAGTCTGAATGGTCCCTCCTATTTGAGATGAGCAGGGAGAAAGCAAGTTCATTTTGACTATGAATTTTAATATCATGAAAACGAATATGCTATCTAGGCACATTAGTTACCATGTACAGCCCCCAATAAAAAGCACACTTGTATAATATATTTCTTACAAGTTCTGGAAAGCTGTAAGAAAGGCAAAGTCTTGGGTCCTAGCAAACTCCAGGTGATTCTGACATGCTAAAGTTTGAGAACTACTAATCTATTTGTTCAGAATACTTCCGTTTGCAGATAATGGAGACAATTATACAAAAGCCTTGAAAGGCTGCAACTTAAACTGGATATGAAGAACTTGGCTTTATTGAAAAGTATGTTCATTTTCTGGGCAAAGAGAAGCCAATCATAATATTGCAAATCTTACGGTAATAAAAAGATATCCAAAATTCATTTATTTCTAGAATATATAATCTTAAGAGAATACGTGAGTATGAATGTTCTTCTTGAGTTGACCATAATAGAATTGTAACATAGAGTAGTTGAAGTTCATTTTGCTGGAAGAAGACTGTAAAAATGTATGTTTGGCACCTACTCAAGAGCATTTTGAACTTAAGTGAGACTATTAGGTCAGTAAATAGTGGACAACAGAGCCCAAAGTAAAAACACACACACTTAGTAATTGAATTTAATAGTACTAAATGGATAAATGGGGGTTATATCATTTGGGTAAAATTTTCTGAAAGCAGCAAAGCTTAAAATAGGATCTCTAGATTTATTCCTGATAAAATTACAGTACTTCTAAAAATAGCAGAGTTCTTAACCAGAGGTTGGGGGACACAAGAGAATAACCTATAAACCCCCTGAAATGATACGCAAAACTTTACGGCTAGCTGCATTTTCCAGGAATGAGCCATAGCATGTCCTTACATTTTCAAAGCAGTCTGTGACCCAAATGTAAGTTAAAAATCAATACCACATGGCGGGGGGGTGGGGGGGGTGCCTGGGTGGCTCAGCCGGTTGAGCATCTGACTTCGGCTCAGGTCATGATCTCACAGTTCGTGAGTTCGAGCCCTGTGTTGGGCTCTGTGCTGACAGCTCAGAGCCTGGAGTCTGCTTCAGATTCTGTGTCTCCCTCTCTCTCTGCCCCATACCCACTCATGCTCTGTCTCTGTCTTAAAAATAAATAAAATGCTACAAAAAATTTTTAAAAAATAAATACCACGTGGTAAAAGGAAATCTGCCACTTTAAAATGTATCTCATTTCCTTGGGGTGCCTGGGTGGCTCAGTCGGTTGAGCGACCGACTTTGGCTCAGGTCATGATCTCACAGTTTGTGAATTCGAGCCCCACGTCAGACTCTGTGCTGACAGCTCAGAGTCTGGAACCTGCTTCTGATTCTGTGTCTCCCTCTCTCTCTGCCCTTCCCCCATTCATGCTCTGTCTCTCTCTGTGTCAGAAATAAATAAACATTAAAAAAAAAATTAAAAAAAAAATGTATCTCATTTCCTAATATACGATAACTGTTAATTCTAGAACTAGTAGCCTCATGGGAGGTGCAGTGACAGAAGACTTTGATGACCAGGAGGAAAACTGAAAACCTCCACGAGCAGTGAGAATACCAGTGTATTGTCCAGCACCGTGTAGTGGAGAGGATTCTCTAAGACTATACTATTTCAAATTTTTAAATGCAATTATTTCTCGGGGCGCCTGGGTGGCGCAGTCGGTTAAGCGTCCAACTTCAGCCAGGTCACGATCTCGCGGTCCGTGAGTTCGAGCCCCGCGTCAGGCTCTGGGCTGATGGCTCAGAGCCTGGAGCCTGTTTCCGATTCTGTGTCTCCCTCTCTCTCTGCCCCTCCCCTGTTCATGCTCTGTCTCTCTCTGTCCCAAAAATAAATAAACGTTGAAAAAAAAAAATAAATGCAATTATTTCTAAAGTCAAAAAGGTATAATAGGGAGAAAAAAAGATCTTAATTTTTTTTGGTTCTCTTTGCTTGCCAAATAATTACATGAGAAAAGAGTTGAGGCTCTTGAGAAGTCCTACCAGGAAGAAAATATTCTGTGCAGATGCCCAAAGAACCAAATTATCACAACCACTGTAACTACCTGGTTTTAACTGTACTGAGAGTTTGATTGATTGGCCACTGTTGGACACTGACTGTGCAACGTCCTCCTCATGTTTCTGAGTCTCCAGAGCTAAGGACCAGGCTACAGGGAGGGCTATCCCCCAAGGTTTAGTTCTTTTGGTCTTCTGACTCTAACCTCCTTCTCAAAGATTTCATATTCTTATCACTTAAAGTATTTCTCCTGCACAGGTAATGCCCAAATGTTTGGTCCTGATTTCTCTGAGACCCTCAAATCCTTACTTAATTTTTCTTTTTCTATATGCAGTCATTTAACCACCAAGCACAAACAGTACGATCATGCCATTACGCTATTTTCCACACACATTCTTTCCCTCTTGGTCTACTATTCTGTCCAGGATCCCAACATCTTGTACTCCCATTATATTAACTCCAAACTGGATTCCCTGCCACTTGTTTCCACTTCACTCTTCCCAATGGTAGCCCGAATCATCACTGTGAATGTTATCACCTTTCTGTTAAAAAAATTACTAACGGTTTTGTAAAACAAGGAAGTTCAAGGGCCTGGGATTCTAGTCCCTTTATCTCCAATCTTATTTTTGGCACTTTTTTGCCATGGCACATTTGCTTTACCCATTATTTCCCTAACATCACAGACACATTTCTATCTATAGGCTATTCTCCCTGCCTAGGACCCCTCCCCCACTCCTCTGTGCTTCAGGGGCTTCTATCTTTCAAGGCCAGCTCAAGTCTCACACAATCCATTTATCTTTCTGACCACATCTACTGAGGGGATGGTTTCTTTATCTTAACTACTGTAGAAGACTTGTCTACTCTTGCTTGGTCCTTAAGAATATAAGGGAAGTACTTCTTTTTTTGCTGATGTCAAGACTACCTCATCTGAGGTCCTGTGAACTCAAGAATCACATTAAAAAAAAATTTCTAGTAAATTTATAGAAGCAAACATAGTTCTGCCTCAGCCATTGTAAAGTGTTCAAAATTAATTAATATTTATTTATTTTTATTTTTTAAAAGTCGGCTCCATGGCCAGTGTGGAGCCCACCGTGGGGCTTGAACTCACAACCCTGTGATCTGGACACGAACTGAGATCAAGAGTAGGATGCTTAACCAACTGAGCCACCCACGTGCCTCTGATTAATTTTTAAAGTAAGTTCTATGCCCAACGTGGGGCTTGAACTTACAACACCAAGATCAAGAATCATATGCTTTCCCAACTGAGCCAGCCAGGAGCCCCTAGGACAATGTAACCAGAGAATTAGAATCTAATAGGTACTTGAATACATCAGTTTTAGCATAAATGGGAATGGTATTTGTGAAGTGGGTTCATGGGTACACCAAATCTGCTGAATGCCTCTGAAAAACAGTAGTATATAGCTGACTTGGTGACTCAGGACTGTTGTTATTTATTTATTTATTTTTTTAAGTTTATTTTGAGAGACAAAGAACAAGCTGGGGAGGGGCAGAGAGGGGGAGACAGATGATCGGAAGTGGGCTCAGTGCTGACAGCAGAGCCTGACGTGGGGCTCAAACTCACAAACCATGAGATCATGGCCTGAGCCAAAGTCAGATGCTTAACTGAGTCACCCAGGCACCCCAGCACTGTATTTTTAATTATCAAGCATATAAAATCCCTTATCAATTGCATACAATTTGGAAAACAATGACATAATAACTTCCTAGTAAAAGGAATGGCTAGAGGGGCACCTGGATGGCTCAGTCGGTTAAGCATCTGACCCTTGATTTTGGCTCAGGTCATGATCTCATGGTTCATGAGTTCGAACACCTCCTTGGGCTCTGTGCTGAACAGCATGGAGCCTGCTTGGGATTCTTTCTCTCCCCTCTGTTCCTCCCCTACATGTGCATGTGCTCTCTCTCTCTCAGAATATTTAAAAAAGAAAAAAAAAGTCTAAACCAAAAGCTCTAGAGAAACATAAATAAACATTCATTTTGTTAAGTGGTCTTCTAAGTGGTCTCTTGGTAGGAATTACGGCTGATGTCCTACCCTCATTCCCTTCATGCTCAGTAGACCTCTTAGGAAAGCATATAACCTACTTGATCAAGAGTCACAGCCTCTACTGACAGCCAGCTAGGTGCCCCGAGCATATAACCTACTTGAATATCACTTGATTACTACAGAAGCTGCTCCAGCCATGGCTTTGAAGCATGGATGGGTTTACTTCTCTGCATGGGCTATTATTGCAAAGGTGATGAAAAGAGCAGGTAAATAACAACACTCAGGTATCTACTGTTGAAACTGGCCTTACCAAAAGTACAGCATGTATACAATCATTCTCATAGAAGATAGCTGAGAAACAGAAATGAAGACCACAGACAATGCTGAAGACAAAACAAAGATTTCCTATCTCAACAAGTCAAAGTGAATTTCCTAGAAACTCTGATTTTACCACTGATGTTCCCAAAAGCAAATTTGAGAAAGTACTATTATTCTGGAATCAAAATGAAGAATTAGGGGTGGAGAGATGGGTTAAATAGGTGATGGGGATTAAGGAGTGCACTTGTCATGATGAGCACAGGGTGATGTATGAAGTATTGAATTACTATATTGTATACATGCAACTAACATAACACTGTATGTTAACTAACTGGAATTAAAATAAAAACTTAAAAAGAGCAAAAGGATGGAAAGGGAAAAAAAAAGGAAGATTAATATCTATTTACCAATAGGCTATCATCAATTCCAGAAGAGAAATCCCTAAAGGTAACTAAGTCAGCAGTACGGCTCAGTAATTGGGGTTAACAGGGAAACAGGGAATAGCACACAATGAAAATGCTTGCGATTTGTAGGAATCTAGTCTGGAAGTAATCTACTCTAAGATCTGTCTTGTGGTCACACAACTGGTAAGGGTAAGGAATTTTTCCATGTTAATTCATGGAAACTGCCAAGGACAGTTCTAGCAAACTTCCACTTGCAAGAATTTTATCTGCCAAGGTAATCTTTTCAACAATAACTGGACTTGTAAGCAACAATATCAACCAAGAAGTATATGTCCTGTGTCATCATGGCTTAGAAGTATCCTTCCTGATTGGCTGGGAGAATCTCAGTGTCTCCTCACATCCTGAGTGACTGCGAACCAAATTTCTGAACATGGAAGAGTAAGAACCCAAACTGGGACTGGTATTGCTCAGGAGAGCACAGTGACCCTAAGCTTAACACTGGAGCTGCTGGCTGGCCTGAATTCTTTTTTTTTTTTAACTAGCTTGCAAGGCAAGACACAGAACAGAATGAGTAAAAAGGTACAAAGGAAAATAGAACTTGAGGGGCACCTGGGTGGCTCAGTCAGTTTAGTGTCCGACTTCGGCTCAGGTCACGATCTCACGGCTCATGAGTTTGAGACCTGCACTGGGTTCTGTGCTGACAGCTCAGAGCCTGGAGCCTGCTTTGGATTCTGCATCTCCCTCTCTCTCAAAAATAAACATAAAAAAAAATTAAAAAAAAAAAAAACAAACCAAAAACAACAAAAAACCCACCATAATTTGAGTAACCCCTGAGTAACATCTATCCAGCGGGTAGAAGAGCAGTGAATGTTCCTGGCCCCAAAGTGTTGCCCAGCCCTCCAATGCACACATTAGAAGTACCTGTGCAGTCTGGTCAAGTAGAACATGGACTTTGTAGCCTAAGAGCTTGAAAAGGGTGACAAGAGTGCTGTGGTCCACATCCCCTCCAGAGCGAAATTCCAGGTCTTTCTCTCCAGTGAAGTGTACATTGCTCAGCACCAAGGCCAGGCCACGAGGCCGAGACTGCAACCTATAGGCCTGGGGCAGGATGGGGGTGTGGGGGAGGCCAATTAGAGCTTCTTATGGACACAAACTATGTCTCCCCAACTAAAAAATCCGACACATTTCAAGAAAACAAAGCCATCCTATTTTCGTTAACCCCACCAGGTCAATACAGAGGAATGCCCAGAGAAGATAACCAATCAGTAATGCCTTTCTGACTAATAAAGCAGGAAGGAGATATATACACAATCTAAGTTCAGATGCCTAGGAAGGGTCTCCCATTTCCCAACTCTTCCTCTTGCATTCTGCATGACTCACCAGCTGGTAGTGTGTTTGATAAAACTCGGGAGTGCAAGGCTTCACCTGAAGGCAGGGAGGACCATCTCCATTGTCTAGGGAGTGTTCCACAGCATCTGTGGCACAGAGAGCCAAAAACACTAGTATACAATCTGTGTCAATCCTAGTACTTCATTGTAACTTAAGGCACCCTGTTGAACTGGGGTTTTAATAATTAGCGATTCTGCTCACTCCCCAAAACTGTCAAATCCAGGAGGGCAGAGACCCTATGTGCTTTTGCTCACTGCTGGATTACCCTCCCACATACCGTACTGAAAGGGGTATCTGACAAAAGCCTTGTTCTAATCAATAGGCTACTCAGTCAGCAGGCTAGTGGCCCAAAATGTAGTCTTTGCTCATTCTAAAGTAGTGGCTTTAAAGAGCCAGGCCACTCGGGTAGGAACTTCCTACCTATACCTGAGCTAAGGGCTAAATACTGTGGAAAAATCATCTGTGATGGAAGGAAGCAGGCCCAACCAATACTCCATCTAAACTTTCCTGCTAGACCCTAACAAATTCACTGAGGAAACTGTTCCCAGTATGAATATAAATAGGAATCGTGCTAGGGCAAAGTCAGATACCAGTCAAGAAACAAGTCAATCTGTGGGACGTGTTATGCCATTGATTCTCACCTGGAGACAGGCGGAGTTGCTTGTGAGGGGGACAGGACTCACACATGGGGAAGGGGAGACTCCAGTCGTTGTCACAGCTCAACTGTAAGAAACCAGGACCCATCATACCAGGTCTTAAGGAGATGATCCAGTCTGAATAAAACCTTCATCTAGTCTCCCCAGCCCCATCTCAAAAATTCCTTTCCCACCAAACGAATCCTTCTCAACACACCACATGTCTAGGGCTCCATACCGGTGGGATTGCATGCTGAAGATCAGAGAGGGTAGTGAGCAACAGATCCTCCAGATGACCCTGCTTGGTCTCCCTCAGGGCCACACAGAAGGCATTAAAAGCCTGGGGACCCCTCTTGGGCAGCAAGTTGAGAAGTTCCACATTTTGGCTGAAACTGCCCACTTTGGCCTAAGATAAAAAAAAAAAAAAACAACACCATGAAATCATATTTACTTATCCAGCTATAATTTTCTCTCTCCAGACGACCTTCCTAGTAATCTCAAGAATCCTTTTACAGGAAAAATACATGTATGGGGGAAGTCTTTCCTATTATTCTTAAATTATATGTCTTTTCTGTTTAAGGCTTTAGGGTAGAAGGGCATTTTCATTTCCTTAGGAAGGCTCTACATCCTTGCCATACTTTGTCATACTCCCACGACCAATTTATTTATTTGGCGTTTCTCTTTTGCTTCCAAATACCTGAATGTGCTCCCTCATTTCCAAGGTGATGATGTCCTTCTCTAGGAGGTGTTCTAACAGTTCACTCAGCAAAAGTTGTTTGGCCAGTACCACTCGGTTCTTTTTTAGTGCTTCCTGATGGTCAGGATGCATGCCACACACTCCCAGTATCCTACAGATTTAAGGCAGAGGGAAAGGCTGTCAGGTATAAGATTTGGCACAGAAGAGTAGAATGGAACAGTTGTGGGTAGACAGAACACAAAGAATGGGACTGCAAAAACCAATATTAAGCATATTTTATTGAATCTGGTTAAAATCAAAGCAGTATTCAGCAGTAACACACTGGTCATAAAGAAATAACGTATAATTTTTTATGGAGTATGTTAAACTGAGACCATCCTCTGAGATGAATTAGTGTGTCTAGGGGAGGAAAATACCTATCTTGAAAAAATGATACACACAGAAGCACACATATTTATGAGAAGAAATATTCCTCTGACACACCAATTTCAATTAAGAGATTATTCCAGGGGGCCTGGGTGGCTCAGTTGGTTAAGTGTCCGACTTTGGTGGCTCAGGTCATGATCTCGCGGTTTGTGGGTTGGAGACCTGCATTGGGTTCTGGGCTGACAGCTTTGAGCCTGGAGCCTGCTTCCCCACTCTGTGTGTCTGTCTGTCTCTCTCTCTGCCCCTCCCCCACTCGTGCTCTGTCCCTCTCTCTCAAAAATAAAGACATTAAAAAAATTAAAAAAAAAAAATTAAAAGATTACTCCAGAAAACCTTTTGCATTATTTATCTAGGCTGCTATAAATGATATGTTTAAAATGATCCCGGGTGAGGAATAAAATAATTTAATACAATGGCAAAAGTTCAAGCCAATCGCTGGCTTTAACACGAAATAAATGGGGCGCCTGGGTGGCGCAGTCGGTTGAGCATCCGACTTCAGCCAGGTCACGGATCTCGCGGTCCGTGAGTTCGAGCCCCGCGTCGGGCTCTGGGCTGATGGCTCGGAGCCTGGAGCCTGTTTCCGATTCTGTGTCTCCCTCTCTCTCTGCCCCTCCCCCGTTCATGCTCTGTCTCTCTCTGTCCCAAAAATAAATAAACGTTGAAAAAAAAAATTAACACGAAATAAATGAGATAGGTGTACACACACGCAGGTACTCTCTATCCCACTTATACCTATGGTTTTTAAAACTTAAGTTCCTGTGACAAAATGATGCTAGAAATAAGAACTGGGTAAGTAGAAAGTATGACAGAAAGTCACAGTAAATACAGACGACAAACAGAATCAACATAACTTGAGATCGCTTTAAAGAGTTAAAACATAAAGGCTAAATTCTTTTGGTAATTTAATAGAGATGGCTATTTCAAGGATTCTTGGTTTTGCTATTGGTTTGGAAAGAGACCAGCTTCTGTTTATGAATTTTAAAATTCCCATTTCCAATATATATCATCTCTGTGCCTAGTTTACATAAACCCAGAGCTCACCAGCCTGCTTAGTTCCCAAGAAGATGACAACAGTAAGGGTCTGACGGCAGGAAAAGGATGAGATAACAGCTTCAGTTTATAACTTTAAAGCCTATTTAAAGATGCATACTGATTTCAAAGATATTAAAATGTGGGGGAGGGGGGATGAGGAATTTGCATCTTAGAATCAGTTAAATACCATGCATTTATAGGATGCACTTGGCTTAACTCCAGGTTAGAGATATACAGAGGAAGGAAAAGCAGAGTCCTGGAAGAGCTGAGAGACCCAAGAGGAGGATGGCATGTGGACCTTAAGGCAGAGGAAGTGGTCAGCAAAACATTCCCAAGATTGGAAGCAGCCAACTTCGGTTAAGTTTAGGGTTTGGGACAGTGATGTTTGAAACTCCATTTAAGCTTCGGGTTTCTGTTTATTAGAAATACTCCCATGACCCCAAACCTTCAGTAGAAACCTGCTACAATAGATCTGGAGAAATCAAAAACCTTATTTAAGAAATCACCTTAGGGGCGCCCGGCTGGCTCAGTCGGCAGAGTGAGCAACTCTTGATCCCGGGTTTGTGAGTTTGAGCCCCACGTTGGGTGCAGAGATTAGTTTAAAAAAAAAAAAAAAAAAAGTGGGGCACCTGGATGGCTCAGTTGGTTAAGTGTCTGACTCTTGATATTGGCCCAGTCGTGATCTCAGAGTCAGCTGTGGAATTGAGCCCCGTGTCCGGCTGAGCCGGCAGTGTGGAGCCTGCTTGGGATTCTCTCCCTGCCCTTCCTGTGCTCTCTCTCTTGAAATAAATAAACTTTAAAAAAATTAAAATAAAAAAATCTTTAGGGTGACTGAGTGACTCAGTTGAGTGTCTGACTCTTGATTTCGGGTTGGGTCATGATCCCAGGGTCATGGGATCAAGCCCTGCATGGGGCTTTGTGCTGAGCGTGGAGCCTGCTTGAGATGCTCTCTCTCCCTCTGCACCTCTCCCCTGCTTGTGCTTGTTCTCTCTTAAATAATAAATTAATTAATGAGTGAATAAATAGACATCTAAAAAATACATATATAAAAGAATCACCTTAGAAAACACCAAGCCAGTAACAATGATGGCGTATATGAAACTCCGGTAAAAATAAATGTTATCAGGCCAACTGCAAGACAACATCACAGCTGGAGATGCTGGGTATTTCCTTAAGATACCTATCATTGGTGAAGCAGGTTTCCTCAAGTTTCTTCCCTTAGTTTACCAGCAGCATTTCAAACTTTCTCCTCCCTTGGTTTCCCTGATACTTTCTCTCCAGTCCCTCTCTCCGCCAACTGTTCCTGTTCCTTCACAAGATCTGTAGCCTGCCCTTGAATGTTGACATTCCATTAGGAACCCCCTCAAAGAGCCTCTCCCTATTCAATCTCACCCATACTCACAATTCACTAACTGACTCACAATTCTTAACTCTTTCAAGTTCTAGACTTAAATTGTCAATCAGTAACTCATTAGGTTTAATCAGAAGCATTATCCATTCTCCACACACCTGCTGCTTTCTGCATTCCACTTTAGGCCAAAGTCTCAATTGTGGACTTCCCCAAAGTAATCATAATCATCTAGAACTCCAGGCCACAGATGGAAGGGGAGGAGGAAAAGGAGAAAAGGACACAAAAAGGAATTCCTAAGTCTGGATTCTGTGTTTTTCTGCAGGTTCTGGCTCCAAAGCCCGAAGTTAATCTTCTGGGTCTGGACCACGAGGCATTAAAATGTTATCCAGGGTGATGCCTGCCATGAAATGATATAACTGGGGCAGAAGCGGAGACACACTGGGAGTCTCGGAACCACCTCGCCCTTTCAAAGCACTCAACCCCTAAAGCCCGTGTCGACTGCTTTGAAAACCTGATCACTGTACCCAAAGCAATACGTGTCATGATACAGTCAATCCAAATCAAATGCACATCAGGGAGAACTGCGAGGTCTGCAGATGTCATCCGCTTTTAAGGGGGCAAAGTTCCTCATATAGGAGTAGAGGGAAAGAAAGGATGGAGAATCTTTAAGAGAAGCCGAGATTCGGCAGTACCGGAGAGCTCCTCATGTCCAGAGACCCCTGGGGTTGGTCAAAGCAGGCTGGGGCAGTCGGCTCACGAGGGACAGGGCCGAGAGGAAGCCCGCCGCTCGCGCGCCCCTCGGGGACTCGCCTGGCCTCCCACCCTTGGCTGCACGGGGGATCCGAGGGGAGGAGGCGCCAGGGCCCTTCCCTGGGCCCAACTAAGGACCTGTGCGACCCTCCCTCACTCACCTGCGCCCTCTGTCAGCGGCCATTACCTCCTTTCGGTGCAGACAGGGCCGAGAGGCCGCGCTCGGCGCCGCCATTTACCGCTTTTCCCGGGCTGTGCGCGTACCGCCCACATCCAAACAAACGGAAAACCCTCACGCCCTCAGCATCCCTCCCCCCGTCCGCCGGCGCACATTGCGCCTGCGCGCTGCTTCTTCTAGCTCCACCCCCACGCGAGAGCTGCCCCGCCTCTGCCGTCGCCAGTGCGCGCGCAGGCACAGAGCCCTCGCGCTAGAAGCGCCGTCCAATGGGGTGAGAGAGCGCTCTTGGCGGAAAGGGAAGGGGCGGGGGGAGGCGAGGAAACACCCCGTCCTACGCGGGAATCCGATTGGTCGTCGGTTCCCGCGGAAATCGCGGATGCCTCTCCGGCGCCTCCCACCCTGTCCCACCCGCCTATTGCAACGTTACTGAGACGGGTTTGGCCGGACTTTATGCTTTATTGAAGTTGAACTGTTGGGGCCAGGGTAAGGAGGAGATAGAGGGCACTAGGCGTTACACAGATACCACACAGTGGATGAAAGCCTAAGTGGGGAGCGCACCCCTGAGGAAGGTGGGTCAGCGATGGCCGAGCAGCTCCCAGTGGCTAAACCTACATTACAGCCAAAGCACGATTCCAGAAAATCTAGTGTTCTGTTGGGATCTTAGCGAGCAGGACCCGGGGCGGGGCGCGGGGGTAAAACGCTGCGGTCCGAGCGCAGGGTGAGGCTTAAGCGGTTAGACACCGTGCATGTGGCTCCAGCGCTTCATAGCAGGTGATTCAAGAGTCACCCTTAGGTACTCCGCCACCCCTGGCAAGCCCCTGTCTTATCCTTTCTGACCCTTGTCCACTCGTCTTAAAATCGGAAGTCCCTCCCCCGGGGCAGTTTACTCCAGTTTCCCAATGGGGTGGGGACCCTGCCCTGGAGACTGCTCTTTAGCCCCAGGGCAGAAATTGCCCCTTACCTGGAGCAGGGGCTATCACGGCTTTGATTAGCTTTGCTCATCTAGGAGAGAGGGCACACTCCAGGTCACAATCAGCCCACACTGCCCGCAGACACAACTGGTCCACCGTTCTGTCCCTAGGAAGGCTCCCACCTGTCTCCAGCAGTTGCTCAAGATAGAGATTGAGAGATTTGTGGATGACCTTGTATTGAAAATACAGTAGGCTTTGGGATCAGAAGAGTAAACATTTTTATGCTATTTACTAGCAGTGTGCCCCTGTGCAAATTATCAAACTCCTCTGACCCTTGGGATCCTTATTTTTCAAATGAGGGCAGTAATACCTCACAAGGCTGGGAAAGTCTTCTTGTGCTAATAGAGATGAAGCACCCAGAACAGAAGCAGCATAGCTGTCACTCAGATGTTTCTTTTCTTCCTTCTCCAGATTCTCTGGGTCACTCCTCTCATACTCGTCTAACTCTGGAAATATTGGATATGGGGTAGGTCACTGAATGTTACTCGAAGACTCCAACAGTGCTATGTACATCTCAGCTGGGAGAGGCTTAGGATAGCCTGACTCCCCTCTGTGTTAAGTTCCCCACGTGGAAACAGAGTTTCTGATACGTGGCAGGCACTGGGAAATGTTGGTCAAATGAATGAATGAGTCTGGCGCAGAGAGGGTATATCCTGGCATAGTCTCTTAGGGGGGTGTCCGGTTGTTTTCAAAGAAAACATCATCAGGTTGACCAAAGCTGACATCATAGTCAGGGGGTGGGGTAAGAGGCTCCAGTTTGGGGGGCATCCCCAAGATCTGCAGATCAGGAGCAGTGGACACAGCTCGGGGTCCCCGAAGCCGAAGGCTGATTGGAGCTCTTCCAGGGTTTCCTGAGGTCATAGATCCCTCTGAGCCCACTCGCCTTTCCAGTCTAGCTCTTTCGGGCCCCTCTGGATGGCCAGGCTGTCCTTCCTCAAGTACTGGAGGGGTTACAACACTGCTGTAGGGGGGTGGTTGACCCAGCTCTTGGGGGCGGCACTGTGATTCCAACACCACAGCCTCTTCATAGGTTGGCACGTCAAAGGCCTCGTTGTCGCTGAGGGAGGAGAAATAAAATCACTGGTGGCCTCCTGTGTGGAGTCCTTTTCCGCTTTACAGTCTTCTATTGGCAAAAGAACCTTCCACCTACCCCACCCCCCACCCCCTCATTGATACTAGTAACAGGGAAGCAGAGCTATATGCCTGAGAGACTAGAGGGACACCAGGAAAAAGGGGCCATCGTGTATTCCTAGAATTCTGCCCGCCCCTTAACTCACCGTGCATTGCTTGAGGCCCCCGAATTCTCGGTCTGCATTGATCGGAACCCCCTTTCCAGAATACAGGCCAGGAGGCAGGCAAACAAGAAGAAGCCACCCAAGGTGAGAAAGAAATAAGCAACAGGGGCGATGTCTGGCTGTATGCCCAGCAAAGCCAGCCCCAGGAGGAAGGAGGCGCAGCACAGGAAGAGAAGTGGCTTCTCCAGTCTCCCCCAAAACTGTCTTGGCACCATGGCCCCTCCCCAGGCTCCTGCAAAAAGACACACAGGTATTGTGTCTAAACTAGCAACTGGCGTCCCGGCCAGGTCAGATTCCGCAGTAACCGTATCGGACACCTTTGGGTCTTTTGAACCTTGGGTCTTCTTCAGTCTCAAATCAAATAAATGGCCAAAACATATGACCTTCAGGGTTCCCTTCAGCTTTGTAATTCTCTCTAGGATCAATCAGAGTGCCAGGGTATCAGTGCGTGTGGAGTAGCCAGGAAATAAACCCAGGATCTTTCATGCAACTTACTGTGTAATGGCCCTGCCTTCCTTCCTTCTTCCTTCTTCTTTGCAGTGTCCCTTCCAGCTCTTTCTACACCATCCAAGACCCAGTCCTGGCTGGCCCTGCCTGGGACTTTGGTGCTCACCAGCATCTGTGGAATCCAGGTAATGAGGCAAACCCTGCCTTTTCTCTATAATTGCTCTGCACTGGACCTCCACCCTACCTCCCCGTCTCCCCACTTAGACCCTGTTGGGGAGAGAAGTTGGGAAGGAGCACCATTACCCTGTCTGACTCCATCTTCCCATTTCCTCTACTCAGCCCGTGCTCTGGTTGGATGGAGAAAATGTACATGGACCCGACAAAGCCACAGGGACACAACTATATGAGAGGGCCTCTTACAAAGGCCTCCATCTATTGGAGGCCCAGATGGAGCCCAGATAACTGGAGGCCCAGATAACTCCTGATCTCTCTATACTCCGCACCTGCCAGGGTACCCCATCTATGGGCCTTAACTCCGTAAGCTCAGATTTCAAACTTCCTGTCTGAAGTTACCACAAGGGCTGGGAGGCTGGTGGGGAGAAGCAGCAACACCTGGTTAGCAGCACCCCAAAACCAACCCATCAGGAATTCCCTGAACTCTGCTATCAAGAAGCCAAAGACTCTAGGTAGGGCCCAGACCCCCTTCTTTAACCCTAACTCCAATCCCCCTTCTTGAACCCAACCCCCCCTACCCTTCTCACCGGTCTTAGAAGTTCCTCTCTCACCTGTCTGGAACGACTCCGCAGAAAGTAGGTTGTAGCCGAGCCGGAGGAGGCGCGGGTGGAGCCCACTGGCTCCACCCACTTTTCTGTTCCAATCCCTCAGTTCCTGGCATAGGCTTCCTCCTCTTTCTGCTTCCACTTGACCTGCTGTCGCCCCACCTTGATTTTTTTTTTCTTTTTTGGTTTTTACTCCACCCACCCCGTACCCGTGCCTTAATGAGAGTGCTCCTGTCACCCCCACCCCCACCTCAGTGATCTTTGTACTTAGGACCAGAGTTATATTCAGTTTCCACCTCTGCTCAAAGCACACTGTATTCTGAATAGTTTGTCTTATATTTAGGTAATGTATTTAATGCCTAGGAGCGGAGGCCACAATGTATTTAATCTCTCTAGACCACATAGTGCTTTGCATGGTTTGCTGTGGGCATGGGATGGCGTGTCCTGCTTCAGCTGCTGCCAAAGTACCGTTTCTGTGAACTTGTTTTCTGCAGGCCTGTAAGACATTTTGGTGTATGCTTCTTGGCCCACTTGACTCTTGATTCTTCAAAAGCCACATCCAGGGTGATGCCTACTGTGGAGGCTGTCTCCACAGTGTATCTAGAACATTCCTTCCTACCCCTGTTTGAGCCTTTAGCTGTTTATTTAGCAATTTTCTGTTTATATACCTTTCTTCCACTGTAAGCTTTTCTTTAAAAATTTTTAAGTTTATTTATTTATTTTGAGAGAGGCAGAGACAGCACAAGTAGGGGAGAAGAGAGAGAGGGAGAGAGAATCCCAAGCAGGCTAAGGAATCCTGAGGAATCCAAGCAGGCTTGAGAGAATCCCAAGGCCAGGCTTGAACTCGTGAAACCTCAAGATCATCACCTGAGGCAAAACCAAGGGTCTGACGCTTAACCAACTGAGCCACCCAGGTTCTCCCACTGTGAGCTTTTCAAAGTGAGTGATTAGTTTCAATACTTTCTGAATCCCTGCAACTGACATTGGTTTCTGACACATGTTAGGTGCTCACTAAACAAAGTCGAATGCTCTCATTAGAAGGCTACCATTTTGCCTGGCCTTACCACCCACTGGAGATCCAGGACCCACTCTTTTTTTTTTTTTTTATTGTTAATGCTTATTTTTGAGAGAGACAGAGAGAGAGCATGAGCAGGGAAAGGGGAGAGAGAGAGGGGGACACAGAATCTGAAGCAGGCTCCAGGCTCTGAGCTGTCAGCACAGAGTCCAATGCATGGTTCAAACTCACAAGCCATGAGTGAGATCATGACCTGAGCCAAAGTTGGACACTTAACTGACTGAGCCAACCAGGAGCCCCACGGACCCAGTCTTTTAAGGGAACCCTGACAATAAGTCAAGGTGAGGCAGGTGTTGGGAGGTGTAGAGAGGATGGAGGCATACTTTTTTCTTGAGAAACAGAGCAGGACAGAGGAGGCTGGGTTCCAGGCCTTTGGACAAACTGAAAGAAGTAGGAGATAGTGGGGCACAAATCTAATCCCACGGACAGTTGTGGGGCATAGCCAGGGCTGCTGCATCAGAGGATGTATGGAGTGTATGTATGTGTGTGTGAGAGTGAGAGAGAGAGGGAGAGAGGAGGGAAGAAGGATGAAGATGAGGACGAGGGGCCTGGAGTGGAGTGCAGGTGTGTACAATGGTGGACTATCAATGATGACTCTCCCACAGATGGAGGGAGAAGATGTAATGGGAAGGCTGTGCTAGTCTAAATGAGCTGTGTCTCTACAGGAAGTGGGAATGGAGAGTAGGGGGGAAGCTGGTTGTTGTTTTGTTTACACCAGTTTCCATACTGTTGGTCCCATAAAAGGAAAGTATGTGATCAGAAGGATTTGCATCTGCAGTTAATATATTAATAGAAGGAAATTGGCCAAGAGTCATTGGTATGTGTGATAAGTAAGAGGGCTTTGTTAAGGAGTGAGTCCCTGGACAGGGACATGGCAGGGAGCGTAGGCTGAGAGGCAAGAGAGTCAAAGGGGGAGACTGAATGTCTACAGTTCAGGCTTTTACAGGCTTTGCAGTTGGGAGAATGAGATCTTTGTGCATGAGGCCCTTGGTTACCAGAAGGAGCCTACACTAGAGATGCTTGCTAGTTAAAAACCGGGTCCACGTCAGAAAGGCTGGATTGCTGGCTGGCTGGCTGGCTGGCTGGGCCCTTCAATGTATTCTCTGTTACATTAATCAACATTAGATTTCCTAAAAATTCTACTTCTTAAATATAAAATCTTGCAAAAATATTTAAAGACTATAAAGAAAAAGCACCCACTATCTCATTATTCTAACATGGCCATTTAAAATTTCTACACATTTCTTCTAGTCTGTCTACACCCTGGTTGAAATTAGAGTATATTCATAATTTTGTATCCTTAAAAAATACTAAACATTATATCATGTATATACTTCACTTTTTGGTACAGTCTTTGTTGTGGTAATTTTAAACAGCCACATAATATTGAATGGATGTACCATAATTTAGCATACCTTTATGTTATGTTACTTGGTAACAATGAGTTTATTTTCTTATTTTTTATTTATTTGTTTTTGGTTGTTGTTGATCATCAACTGCTTTAAGAGACAGAAAGGAGATTAATAATTGCCAGGAGCTGAGAGAGAGAGGAATGGGGAGTAACTCCTAATGGATTTCTTCTGAGGGTAATGAAAAGCTTTTAAAATTAGTGTTGCTTGCACAACTCTGCGAATATACTAAAAAAAGACCCACTGAATTTTACACTTCAAAAGGGTGAATTATGCTTCTATAAATCTGTTTTAAAAATGATGCTACAATGGGGCTCCTGGTTGGTTTAGTCAGTTGAGTGTCTAACTCTTGATTTTGGCTCAGGTCATGATCTCAGGGTTCGTGAGTTCGAGCCCCACGTTGGGCTCTGCGCTGACAGCTTGAAGCCTGCTTGGGATTCTCTCTTTCTGCCCTCCTCTACTTGCTTGCATGTGCATGCGTACTCTCTCTCAGAATTAAAAAAAAATGCTACAGCGAACATCTTACGAATAGTTTTGCCTTCTTTTTGGATTATTTACTCCGGTTCAATCTAAGAAATGTCATCAAGACAATGTGAAAGAAAGCTTTTGTTGCCTTGAATACATATAGCCAAACTTCTTTCCAAAGGTTTTACTTTTCCTCTTTTCCTTCACCAACTGAGTATGAGTGCTAAGGATACTATTAGTCATTTCGTTTTCTACTTGCCTGCCTCTGCAAATCATCTTGTGAGCAGTTGGATTACCGCTCTAGGCTGGCCCACTGTGCCATTTTGGGGGACGATGGTGAAGAGAAGTGGGAGGTGAGGGAAGGAGGGAGAAGCAGAGATAACTGACAGACTTCCTATGAATGATAATGGATGTCTACCCACCCTGTGCTTCTCTGTCTCCATATACTTGTGATTTGGTGTTTCTGAATGTGGGTCTGTGTTATACTTATAGCCAACATGTGTGGAGTGTTTTTTGTGTACTACTCATTATGCTGGATGCTTTATACAAATTAATTTAAAATATAGTGTAATAAGAGGTAGTTATAATTATTATATTCATTTTATAGGTGAGGTCAGAAACTTGAGGAAAATATATAGCTAATCAAGGTTGGGGTCAAGATTTGAACCCATAGTCCCAGTGCAGACACCTGGCTCTTAACCGCCATGTCATCTGACTATAAACACTGTTTTTTAGCCACCTTAATAATGATAATTTAACAAAACACTTATGATACTCTTTTTTTTTTAAAGTTTATTTATTTATTTTGAGAGAGAGAGAGAATGTACAAGTGAGCAGGGGAGGGGCAGAGAGAGAGGGAGAGAGAAAATCCCAAGCAAGCTCCATGCTGACATGGAGCCTGACATGGGGCTCAATCCCATGAACTGTGAGATCATGACATGAGCCGAAACCACGAGTTGGACACTTAAGTGACTGAGACACCAGGCGCCCCCATACTTATGACATTCAGAGATCATTACTCTGGGGTTTCCATGGAGGAGTGGTTAGATGCTATTTTCCTCATTGTTTGGCATCTTAAGAAAAGGCTGACCTTCTGACAGCAAAGGCAGCAAAAGAGATTATGAGAAGATTAAGTAAGGTTATCAACATATAAGGCAAGAATGGAAATTAAGATTTCAGGCTCTGTAGCAGTATATGTTTATCTTTTAGGAGCTAATTAAGAGTGATTACAAAAGATAAGGCTCTTACCTGAATAGCTCTAGAAGCCCAATGTGCGGGTGACTTTTTTTTTTAAGGGTGTAGGTGGGAATGTGTATGTGTAGAAACAATTTGGTCCGATCTCATTTGATTCTTAATAACAGTCATGTAGGTAAGTCTGATTATCATTTTCATGTTACAGAGGAGGAAACCAGCTCAGAGAAAGTACATGATTTATTTAGTTAGAATCAAACTCAGAATCTTGACCTTCTAACTCAGTTGAAAGTGTTTTTCTCTGTGTTAGCTGCCTTACCCACCGCTCTTTCAAATGTGTAGGGAAGGGGATAAATGATTTAATGTGAATTGTATCAGCATCATTGATATTTCTTGAATGGAAATGCTTCCAATAAATCGTAAATTCTCAAGTATGTAAGGATAAATACACGTTATCACTCAGCAACTAGTTGTAATACCACACAAAGCTCACTGGCAATGTGCTGAGTGAATATGAGGTTCAGGCTGTCCCTCTAGCTCAGATATTCAGCACTAAGCCACAAAAGTGATTCTCAAATTTGAGAAGTTGAGTGTAATTGTTGTCCAGTACAAATAATACATTGTGTTTATAAAAGATGTCTGTAGATAGTGGCAAAAATGTCCCACATGAATATGTCCCTAAATAAGAGAAGACAAGAAGGTATCGTGGTTGCGGTTAAGCACATATTTTTGGAGATGGCCAGACCAGGTTTCAAATCTCATTTCTACCAATTACTAACTGTGTGACCTTTGATAAGCTATTTAACCTTTTTTCATGCATAAAAGTAACTAGAGTTAAATATTAGTTAACTTGTTTTCTTTTTAAATGAGATTGGTCTACAGTAAAATGCACAAATTTTCAGTGGGCAATTCCATAAGTTTTGATAAAGATTTATACTTGTGTAACCCAAATTGCAATCAAGATACAAAACGCTACTATCATCCAAAGTTCCCTGCAAGCCCTCTTCAGTCAACCCCATAGGCAACCACTGTTTTGTTTTTTTTTTCCCATCTACTATATTCTTAAAAATGGTTTCTGTTTTATGGAACAACAATTTATTGAACCATAAACATTTAATTATCTGATAACCAGTTAGTTTACAGGATTTTGCAATTCATATATTTCTTTTTTTTTTTAATTTTATTTTAAGTAGGCTCCACATGCAATGTGTCTCAAGACCTGAGATCAAGTCACATGCTCTATCAAGACTGAGCCAGCCAGTTGCCCTCATATATTCCTATACGTATTTTTATTCATATGTGTGATCCAGAAAAAATCCTGAAAGTGAAGTTTCTAATAGATACCACCATGTGGCTCTCGAAAGGAGTTGTAAATATTCACACTCCTACTCACATTGCAGGGTTACCTATAGGCCCACACCCTGATCAACAGTGAGTTATCAAACTTGGGTTCAATAAATTTTTACTGTTCACTTGCTACACAGGACACTCCAAGGCATATTCAGTAGATCTGACAGGAATATCACTCTCAAAGAGCTTACTGTCCCTAAGGGGAAAGGCGTGTACATGACTAACCGTAGGGCAGGATACAAAGAGACAAGGTACAAAGTGCTGCTGAGAGCAGAAACTTGGTGCTGACAAGGGTGGGGATCAGGAATACATCACAGATATAAGGGGGTTTGTTTACACTCCTTTTTAAAAAAAATGTTTATTATCTTGAGAGAGAGAGAAAGTGTGTGCGTGCATGCATGCACTTGTGAGCAGGGAAGGGGCAGAGAGAGAGGGAGTGCCAAGGAGGCTCCACACTGTCGGAGCAGAGCCCAACTCTGGGATTGATCCTGAGAACTGTGAGATCATGACCTGAGCCTAAATCAAGAGTCTGATGCTTAACTGCTGAGCCACCCAGGTGCCCCTACACTCTCTTTATGTCCATCTCATCATTATGCATGGAGTAGACAATAAATGCTTGTATCATTTGTTGGTAGTAAATATTTACTGATTTAGTGATTCATGACCTTTGGATCCCTTGATCCTCCCTCAATTGTCTCCCTCTCTTTTCCAGTCTTTTTTGGTCTGGCATCAGCTAGCACCAGCCATACCCTCGAACATGGGCTTGGCAGAAGAGGGAATTAGTCTGACCCAAGCCAGGGGTTTCAGTTTTCCCGTTTGTGAACACATTGAAGGAACTCTCTGGGATTAAGGTCATGGGATGAGTGAGGAACAGCGTCCAGCTGGCCTCCCTGCCGCCAATTCCCTGGGGTACAAGTGGCTACTTCTTTCTGATTTCACTTCTGCTTATACCTGGGAATCATAGTCAAATGAAGGACTAGGCTTCCTCTGAGAGGGAGGATGATAAATAATGGGCCCCAAGTCCCTGTCTTCCAGTTGGACTCCTACTTTCTCCGTGCACTTCCCCGGCAGCGTCATTTTCTGGAATTCCTGTTCACCTTTTCTACCTTGAGACTTCCCCCATCTCCTCTGTGACCTTGTTATCTCCTTCTTCTTTTGCCACCTCCCATCTCTTTTTCCCTTCTCTCACTTTCTCTTTTCTTTGGTCCATTTGTTTGGTAAGAATTTATTCAGCATGTATTATGTGCTCACAGGAGCAGCTACATATAGTACATAGTTTGTTGGGTCCAGTGCAAACTGAAAATGCAGGGCCGCTTGCTCAAAATTATGAAGGATTACAAGACAGTGCTGGCAGAGCATCAAACCAGTCATGGGGCCCTGTAGGAGTGCACAGGATGCAAGTCCTTGAGGCTGACCTTGTGTGCACAGTACTGTGGGGATATGTGAAAATGTGTAATATCACAGAATTTAAATTTCAGTACATTTTTAAAGTTTATTTATTTACTTAGAGAGAGAGAGAGAGAGAAAGAGAGACCTTGCGAGCAGGGGAGGGGCAGAGAGAGAGAGAGGGAGAGAGGAAGAATCCCAAGCATGCTGTCCGGTGCTGTCAGCATGGAGCCTGATGTGGGGCTCAATCTCATGAACCGTGAGATCATGACCTGAGCCAAAACCAAGAATTGGATACTTAACTGACTGAGCCACCCAGGCACCTCCCCCCCTTTTTAAAAGTAATTTCTACACCCAATGTGGGGCTTGAACTGATGGCCCTGAGATCAAGAGTCATAAGTTCCACTGACTGAGCCAGCCAGGTACCCCTCAGTACACTTTCAAGACATTATTATGGAAATAATCCCAACACACATAAATGAGGAAAGAATAGTATAATGAACTCTTCATGTACCCATCACTCAGCTTCAACAATCGTCTCATCTGTTTTTTCCACCTCCCTCACTTTTTTCATGGGGGGGGGAGGGGCAGAAGGACAGAGAGAGAGAGAGGGAGGGAGGGAGAATCTTAAGCAGGCTCCACACTTGCACTGAGTCTAACACTGGGACTTGATCCCACAACCCTGGGATCATGACCTGAGCAGAAATCAAGAGCTGGATGCTCAACCAGCTGAACCACCCAGGCGCCCCACCTCCCCAACTTTTTAAAAGGCAGCACGTCACCTCTACCCTAAATGTTTCAGAATGCAATTCCAATTGATGAGAACTTACTCGTGCATGCCACCCTGCCATTAACACACTTAATTCCTTAGTATCACCTAATATCCAGTCTCTGTTACTTTCCCTCAGTTGTCTTAAAATGTACATTCTTTTAAAATATACTATTAAGAACAATATTGACATTTCAAAAACAGTCAATCCAGTTAGAAAATGGGCAAAAGGCATGAACATATTTCACTGGAGAGGATGTACAGATGGCAAAGCATACACAAAAAGATGTTCATGAGCCCTTAGGGAAATGCAGATTAAAATTACAGTGAGCTATCACTACACATCTATCAGAATGGCTAAAATAAAAAAAATAGCAGTGTAACACCAAATGCTGGTGAGGATGCAGAGAAACTGGATCACTCGTGCATTTCTACTGGCATGGCCACTTAGGAAAAGTATAGCAGTTTCTTATAAAACTAAACATGCACTTATTATATGACTCAGCAACTGTACTCCTGGGCATTTACCCCAGAAAAACAAAAATTTGTGTGCACACAAAAACCTGTACAAGAATATTCATACCAGGTCTATTTGTAATAGCCCCAAACTGGAAACAACCTAAGTGTCCTTCAACAGGTTAAACAAATTGGCACATCCATACCCGGACTACTTCTCAGCAATAAAAAGAACCAGAGACACGCAACACCTTGTGTGGATCTGAAGGGAATATGCTGAGTGAAAATAAGCCAATCTGATTCCATTTATATAGCACTCTTGAAGTGACAAAACTATACGAAGAACAGATTGGTCATTGGTAGGGCTTAGAGAAGTGGGGAGGGCAGGTGGCCCTAGCTATAAAAGGGGGAGCATGAGGATCCCTTATGCTCAAAATATTTCATATCTTGTGATGGTGGTCACGTACACAATAAAATAATACAGAACTAAATATACACAAATGAGTGCACTAAAAACCGATGAAATCTGAATAGGGTTGATGGATCGCGTCAATGTCAATGTTCTGTTTGTGTCACTATACTATAGCTGTGCAAGATGTTACCATTGGGGAAACTGGATGAAGGGTATATTGAATCACTGACTTATGGCTGACATTCATGTGTTAAAAAATACAAACATTTCTGGGTACACACAAAAAAACCAGAGAGTACAAATGGAAATGAAAAAGGGGAGACTCTTCACTTGATAGCTTGCTGGGGTTTTTTTGTTTTGTTTTACCACATGCAGGTGATACTTTTTGTTGTTTGTTAACACTTGTGTTTCGAGTCTGTCAAAAAATACCATTCTAGAAGTTCTACCTAAGTTTGTTTTAGAAGTATAACGTTATTTGGTGAGCCTGGAATTTGAACCCCAGTGCAAGATAGTGGTTCAGTATTCTAAGTATTGACATAACTATGAATTTTATATTACACTACAACTATTGATCATAAGGGGAGGAGAGGAAGGAACTAATAGTAAGTATGAAGCTTTTTGGATTAGAAGAGTGTTCCCTTATTTTAAAAATACAGCTGCATTTGGGGGCTTTCCCCTTTCTCATTGTGATGGTTAATTTCATGTGTCAACTTGACTGAGCTAAGGGATGTCCAGAGAGCTGATAAAACAATACTTCTGGGTGTGCCTGTGAGGGTGCTTCTAGAAGAGATTAGCATTTGAATCGGTAGACTGAGTAAAGGTGGCCCTCACCAGTGTGGGTGGGCATCATCCAGTTTATTGAGGGCCTGAATGGCACAAAAAAGCAAAGGGCAAACTTGTTCTTTCTGTTTGAACTGAGACATGCATGTTCTGTTACCCTCAGACACAGGTGCTGCTGGTTCTCAGGCTTTGGATTCTGGATTGGAACTGTACCACCAGCCCGCTTTCCCAGGCCTCCAGCTTGCAGATGGCAGATTGTGGAACTTCTTAGCCTCCATAGTCATGTAAGCCAACCCCTGATAATAGATCTCTTTTATATACATAGGTAAATGCCCTATTGTTTCTGTTTTTTTTTTTAACGTTTTTAAAAATTTTATTATTTTTTAAAATTTACATCCAAGTTAGTTAGCATATAATGCAACAATGATTTCAGGGGTAGTACTGTTTCTGTTTCTTTGGAGAACCCTAATACACTTGTTTCAGATTCTATTTGGCAGAAGTTCAGACATTATAATCCAGAGCGTGTTTGTAAGGTTTAGTCTAGAAATTGTCTCATTCCTCCAGAGAAGATTACATTTACTATTGGATTAGGAAAATAGGATGTTAGACTCTTTGAAGGAAGACTGGGCAGACCTGGGAAATGCCTGCATCTACAGTAAGAGATTAGTTCACATTAGCCTGGGATAAAATTTGGGATTAAGTTAAGCAACTGATAATGTTTCAAAAACAATGGGAAAGATGCACAATTGTACCCAAATGTGAATCCAGAAGTTCTTGTATTTTTTCATTAAATATATACATTTTTGTTTGCCAGAAAAGATGATCATTTCAAAAAGTCTACAAATGAAATGAAAACATCTTGGCATATTTTATTCCAGGATTAATAAGTTGATTTCCTCTGTAATATTTTTTTATAAGTCAACATGTAATTGAGATCATACCATGTAGTTTAATCTTTTTTTCCAATTAATAACATATCCCAAGAATTTCCAGCATTAAAATTCTTTATAAGTGTAATTTTTGATAGTTATGAAACATTACATCCTGGATGTACCATAACTTATTCAAGCATCTGCCTATTGTTAGATATTTAAGGTACTTGATATCACAAACAATGCTGAGATCAGCACCTTTATTCATAAAACTTTGTCTCCACTACTGTCTTCTCAGCATAGATGAGAACTTCTATATACTTCAATATATAACATAAATACATGAGACGTAACATTGTAATTTGCTCTTAGGTTTCTTACTATTGGACATTTCCCCGTATTTTAAATTAATATTAGATGTACATGTCATGATATCTCTTTTGAAAGACGGAGTGTGTACTTGGAGATGTACTTCTGGTTAGTTAGCAGCTAAGCCTAGTAAGGATAACTTGAAAGTTATCCTTACTAGGATAGAGTATGCTGGAATGATGGAAAAGGGGACAGGAGGAAGACCGAAAATGATGGGGAATAAAAGGGGCAAATGAGCTTGGAGATTAGAAAAGAGCCAGAGGGAGGGAACAAGGCATCCCCTCTTAAAGCCTCTCAACCTTTGAGCCATCAAAAACTCCACACCTGGTTCCCAACAGATGCCTAAGTGTGGTTTCAGCTTTGAATAAAGAGTATTCTCAAAGAAGTCCAAAGATTGTTAAAACACAAGGTATTCTGATTACTGCATAGCTGGCACAAACAGAGCCGGGCCTTTGGATAAATAATTGAGGGAGTGGGAAAGCTATAGGTTTGTATGGGAAGGAACAGGGGTTCCAGGGAGAGAGGCCCTGGGATTTTCTCGAAATCTGCTTTGTGGGTGAGGGAACTCTGTGGGATGAGCACCTTGCCCAGGCCATGGCAACTCCAGCCTGTCTCCCTGTGCTGCCTTGCCCTTGTTCTGCTGGTCAGTGTAGCTGGAGCTGTTCAAATATCTGGGTAGAAGCTCAGCCATGCTCTGGCTCCCTCTCAGGCACCATGACTGGTTAGAAGGCAGTAGGTACCAAACTGGTTGGTTAGTTTTCGGTCCCTGAAGAGGGATGGTTTCCTGCTCCTTCCACACAAGCTGCCCTGAGGGGAGCAGCAGGGCTGGCAGTATGGAAAAAGCTGTTTAGAAACACCCAGAGTGGACAGAATATGACAGTAGGAAGAACACACAAACACCAGACAGGACACAGAAATATTCTGCCTGATGATGTTAGGTTTATTCTGAGAGAAAGTAGAGTTTGGGGCTCTTGAAAGGCACTTGTGAGGCACGCAAGTAAAAGCAGTCATGAGACTAAGGTAGATGATGTAACACGCAGTCCCCCTCCCCGGCATCCCCCAGGGCCACAGAGGAACCGCTGTCAGACAGGAAAACCAGAATGCTAGTGGAAGAAGCGTAAGCAGATTATCTACTTTTTTACTCCAGTAGTTTTGCTTCCCTTGGCCATCCTTAAATTTTGGCATTTATGGCTGGAGGCACAGGGCCCATCCACTTCTCTCCTGGATGGAGAAAATCACATATGTTAGAGGCTGGCCCCACAAGCCTCAGGGGTTTTCTAAGGAGACCTCTGCTTGGCTTCCTTCTTTTCTGTGGGGGTGAAGGTGGCCTCTCCCCATTCAACCTTGAGGACCCCTGTGTATGAGGCTTCATTGTTGGAAATGCATAGAAGATGTTTTGCTCTGCATCTGTCATTCTGGTCCACTGATATAATGGGGTGGGGCTGGGGTCAAGGGCAGCTCACCACAAACCTATAACTTACCCAGCAGGTGTGCCAGCAACTCCATCCGGTCAGAGCCAAACAGCATGTGGGTTTGGCCATCCAGATGGGCCACGGTGACAGGCAGCCCAAAGGCCTGGAGAAAGCAGTGATGGAGCAGGTGTTTATTAGGCTGGGGTCAAAGGCTAAGAGTCAATACTTGTCTGAGGTCATAGAAGCAAAGTAGCCAAAGATGTGATTGCTAAGAAGTTCCTTTGCTCTAAGGAGTTTTCTGGTTTTAACTCTCAGATGTTGTCTTTCTTCTTGCCATCCAGCTCCCTCCCTTTTTCTCCATGGACTATGGGATGGGAAGGGAGAGGACGAGGGTTGACTGGGAGCTGGGAGGACTCTTGCTGGGAGCAACTTCTGGGACAGGTGCATGGGGACCCAGCAGATTCTCATGCTGTCTCCAGCACTGGGGCTGGGGACCCACATCAGGAGTTGCTCACCCCGTATTTGCAGGCTGCGTTGGTGGTATCCCTGAGCTCGTTCTTCACCTTTGGTGTTGAGATCTTTTCCAGAAGTCCCTGGGCTTGTTCTGTAGACATGCCAGCTTTCTCTGCAGCCTGAGGGCATGTGGTAGGGAACACAACTGTGTCTGAATTAGTGGGACCAGAAAATTCTGGTCTTTTTATTTTCTGCTCCCATCTTCATGGTAAGGCCTTTGTCCACCCACAAGTGGAGGTCTAGCTTTGCTAAGAGGGGCAAAATCTTGAGACTGGTGGAAAGAACAGGTGGCAGAGTCATAGCTGTAGAAATTTAAAGCCAGGGGGCATTTTAGAAACCAAGGGACTGTTATCCAGAGGTAGTCCATGACTTGGTTGGCATTAAAGAGCTTGTTAGTGGCAGAGCCAATGCTAGAATCCAGGTCCCCTGACAGTAAGTCTGGGCTCTTGCCTTCTTATTTCTCAGAATTCTTGAATATCTTGTGCTCTTCTGACTCAAGGGCTAGGCTACAAATTCTCATGGAATTTCTGGAGGACTTCTGAGCAGAGCACAGGGATACAGCTTCCTGCATGGCTAACAATAACAAAGGCTTCAGTATGGGGTTTGTTGGTATCGTTTGGGATTAGGGGTGCTTAACTTTGGCTGCACGTTAGAATCTCCCAAGGGAGCTTTTAAAAAATCCCATTCACAAGTCACCCCCTGGAACAATTACATCAGAACTTTTGGTAGGCAGTGTCCAGGTGCTCTAGGGGACTTAAATATACAGCCGAGGATGAGAACCACTGCAGCCTGACCTCCTCAACCTGGAGGAGGAAACACAAAGTCGTGCAGTGTATTCTAATGTGACACTATCTTTCTCGTACTTGTCTACGTGAGAGAATTGCGTCCCAGACTAAATGTTCAACAACAGGGGAATGGTTAAATAAACAAAATGCTTCAAAAACAAAAAAACAAAATTGCCCACTGAATGCAATGCTATGTAGAAACTAAGAATGGTACTTTCAAAGAGCTTATGATGGCATGGAAAAGGATTGTTCATAAGTGGAAAGGCAAGCCTGGGCATATACTCTGCAGGAATAAAAACAGTGGAGGAATATATTGGCCATTCTTTGTATGTGTACTTTTGGCGATTTGCCATCTTATGTATTAAATCTGAATATGCTTCGACTATCATTTTGTAAACTGCAAGGGAAATATTATTTTGAATTTCCCAATTTAATTCCAATGAAAAACTTACGTTTTTATATACCTCATCGATGGCTGGCACACATTCCAATGTTTTGAGCTATTTCTATTTGTTTTCACTCAGGCTTTTGTGTAATTCTGGCTTGAGCCGGTTATCTCTTTTAGTCTCTTTAAAGTCTGTCTGTAAAGTCTCCTGCTTTCTACTCTGGCTATGTTGGTGTGGTCTGTGTTGGAGTCTCTGGGGCCAAGATTGCCAATGCTTCATCCCTCCCCATCTGGGGATGCCACCATTTAACAGCTCTCTCCCACTGACTCCTTTCATGAGATAAATTCTACCCATGCAGAAGTTTGCACTTCCCCTTTCAACCATGAGATAATCTTCTGAGTGTCCTCCTGGTTCCAACCTTTCAGTAATTTGGCTTCTCAAACACAGACCTGCTTTCTCCCCTAATAACTATGACCTCTTGCACTGAATATGAAATCTGTGCCTTCTCTGCCCCTAAACACCAACTGTTCTCAGCTTTGCTATGAGAGGAGTGGGGACAAGCCAGGATACTCACAGCCAGGATGCTCTTGGGCTCCGAGATGTCTTCATCCTGAGAAGAAGAGAACACTCAGCAGGAAGGAGGTGGAGAGGGCGGAGATGGGGGACAAGTAGGCCAGTGAACAAGAGGGAAAGGCAGGACCAGGGTGCTGGAAATGGTTCTGGGGGAGGGTCAGAACACCATCCAGGGTCTCCCAAGCAGGTTCCCAGAGTTCTGTCCTCACTCGTGACCAGACGCGCATCCATAGTTCTCTGGACACTTTCTCCAGCATCTCTGGGTGCTCCAGGTTCACAGCGGTGAGGAATCGCATGGCTGATAAACTTCCTGCAGGACAGAAGTACTCAGAGGTGGGCTCTCCTGGCTTGTTTCTGATGAAGGACCAGCTCTTTCATGCTTCTGACATCCCCAGAGCTCAGTTGCCCTCAGCCTCCCACCCAAATTTCTCATAGCCAATTTGACCTGCTCTTTCTCCCCTTCTGTCCCCATAAGCTTCTGCTGACTCAACTCTCACCTGCGTTTCCCCCAGGTTTGTTTAAGTTTCATGTGGTTGCCAGCCCTTACTTCTTGCCACTGGTTCCCAAATGCGCTGCCTTTCACTAGATACCCCTTCTGTATCCCACTGTCTTCACCTTTTTCAAGGATCACAGAGAAGAAATCCTTGGGGAACTGGATGGGAACCTGGATATGCTGTCCCAGGAGCCTGATGTCATTTTGCAGGTATTGGGCTTTGCGGGGAAGCAGAGCTGGCGGTTGGTTTCCTGCAAATGGAAATTTGGGGACATTGGTGAGAGACCACGTGAGGGTCCCAGGCTTGGGGGCCGGCTACCTGGGTTTTGACCAGAGGGCAGATTATGAGCTACAGGTGCCAATGTAAAGACCCAATTGAAGCCATCCCTCCCTCAAATCGCGGTCCAAAAGGCGACCGCCTTCACACCGCTGTCTTTCATGATCGCTGCAATGAGGCTGGGGCGCAACTGCAGGTTGATGTTCCAGAGCTTCTTATATCGGCACAGGACCTGCAGAGGCAGAGATGGGGAGCCATTGTTACAGATGGAGAGAGTGAAGATGGCTAAGCGCAGAGTAGCGGTTCTGTGGATACCCTAAATTTCATTGCTAGAAATCGATCCCATGAACTTTGCTCCGTCCCAAGAAATCGATCGCAGGATCTTTCTGTGGACGGCTTCCATACTTTTCACTCTCACGCCCCCAAAAGTGGTGGCAGTGCCATGGAATTCTCTTTGATACTTTGGAGTTACCCGTCTTCTTCCAAACCGCCGTGGGAAATCACTGCCTTAGAATATAAAGGCTCGATCAAAAATAAATAAATGTTAAAAAAAAATTAAAAAAAAAAAAGAATATAAAGGCTCGACCTGGACCCAGCGACCGTATCCCGTTTAAAAACACAAAGTGACCTTCAGCGCTTCACCTCTCTATCGCGTGTCCTAAACCCCGTCCGGCAGCGCCAGGCCTTTCACGAGACTTCGGTCCCCGCGCCCCGCTCCCGCCCTTCTCTCCGCCCTTGCCCTCCAAGCCCCGGCCGAGGGAGCTCCCGGAGTCACCTCGAAGCCCAACCAGGAGTAGGGGGACAGCACATCGTAGAAGAGCTCCAGAGTGCGCGCCGCGGGCGTCATGCTGCAGCAGCCGAGATCCTCTCTGGCGCGCCGAGCCCGCGTAGGGATTCCAGGCGTGGTATGGAGGACCCGCCCCGCTCTCCGCCGCGCAGCCGCGCGAGGAAGACAGCCCTGGGCCAAGTCTGGCCGAAGGTCGTGTGGGCGGGGCCGTCTGGCGGGAGCCGGTGGGCACCGCCCCCTGGGGAGCGCGTGGCGCGTGAGGGCGGGGCTGTCACTGGCCTGGTCCTGAGTATACGGCCCAGGCGGGTGTTTCAGATGTGGACTGTGTTTCTCGTTTAGCTGTGCTCCTTTGGCAGGCCACTTGACGTCTCTGAACCTCACTTTCTTCCTCATCCCTTTTTTTTTTCTTTCTTTCTTTCTTTCTTTTTTTTTTTTTTTTTGAGAGAGCTCCTGCGAGCGTGGGGGAGGGGCAGAGGGAAAGGGAAAATCTCAAATAAATTCCAGGCCCAGCACAGAGCCTGAAGCCGGGGCTGGATTACAGCATCCTGAGATTATGACGCCAGCGGAAATCAAGAGTTCCACGTTTACCCGTCAGCCTAACTGTGGGAGCCACACAGAGGACCCCCTCCTCATCCCTCCCCAAAATGGGGATGCTTGGGGCATCTGGGTGGCTCCGTCAGTCAAGACTTGATTTCGGCTCAGGTAATGATCTCACAATTTGTGAGATAAAGCCCCGCTTTGGGCTCCACGCTGACAGCACGGAGCCTGCTTGAGATTCTCTCTCTCTCTCCCTCTCTCTCTCTCTCTCTCTCTCTCTCTCTCTGCCCCTCCCCAGCTTGCGCATGTGCTCTCTCAAATAAATAAAATGAAAAATTTTTTTTAAAAATGGGGATGTGTAATGATAACCCCTACCTCACACAGCCTTGTGAGAAGAAAAGGGCTGATACGTGTTAGTTATTTGTGTTACCTGGAAGTTGCAGGAAGTTCCTGGGACCAGGGCCGAGTAAGAAGTGCCCAAATTATACATTTCTTTTGCATTTCTCAGAGCTTAGCCTGGAACATATTTGACAATCAGTGCATATTCTGAGAGTGAGTGCAGGAGAGAAGGAGGCCTCCCTGCAACAATAATGAGAGGAATAATGGGGAATGGTGTGTCCTATCTGTATTCCTGAATATGTCATATTGTCTTATATTGGGATTACATTGACTGCAAAGAAACAGTTAAAAAATATATATTTTTTCCTTTTTACTGTTTACTTTTGAGAGAGAGAGAGAGAGAGAGTGTGAGTGGGAAAAGAGCAGAGAGGGAGACAGGGAATCAGAAGCAGGCTCCAGACTCTGAGCTGTCACAGCACAGAGCCCAACTGAGGCTCAGACTCACCAGCCCAGCGGTGAGATCATGACCTGAACCAAAGTGGGATGCTCAACAGATTGAGCCACCCAGGCCCCCCAAAGAAACAAATTTTTAAAGTTCCATTTAATTTTATTAAAATTATTCTTAATGTTTCTGATTTTATGAATTTGAAAACACATAACAATAAAGATTCTACTTCTCATGCATATTCAGGAGAAAAAGCAACCCTAAGCCATCAGAATACAAGGGCAGTGTAACCATTTACCTAGAGTAGAAAGTATGAAATGAAATGAGATAGAATGTTATTTTCACCTACTTGAAAATTGAACTAATTGCTTTGCAATCACTGAAACTGAAAAATTACACATTTCTTCAGTTAATATTAATTTAAAAGTTTCCAAGAGCAAATTTAGCTCCATAATAATATCTTATTTTAAATAATATCCCATATTTTAAAAAACCGTAATTTTTAGGAATAATTTTAGGCTTACAGAAGAATCGTAAAGATAGTAGTACAGAGAGTTTCTGCATACCCCTCATCCAGCTTTCCCTGACGTGGACAACTTACATAACCTTGGTATAATGATCAAAGCTAAGAAATTAACATTGGTACAGTACTATTAACTAGATAATGGGCTTCATTTGGATTTCACTATGTTTTCCACTAATGTCCTTTTTCTGTTCCAGGATCCGTTCCAGGGTACCACCTAGTATTTAGTTGTCATGTCTCTTTAGTCTCCTCCTATCTATGAAAGTTTCTTGATTTTTTTCTTGTGTTTCTTGACCTTGACACTTTTGGAGACCATTAGTCACATATTTTGTAGAATGTCCCTCAATTTCCGGTTTGATGTTTTTTCATGACTAGGCTGGAATTCTGCATTTTTTGTAAGTATACCACAGAGGTGAAGTGCCCTTTTCCTTGAATTGTGTCAGGGGGTTCCTGATACCAACATGACTTATTATTACCCATGTTAACCTTGACCATTTGGGTAAGGTGGAGAAAACTTGTCAAGTTTCTCTACTGTAAAAATCATTGTTTCTTCCTTTCCCTACTCTATTCTTTAGAAGGGAGTCACTAAGTGCAGCCCAGTCTGGAGGTGGGGTTGGTTGTGAAGGACATCAAAGAATTTGTGGATGTATGTTAAAACCACCATAGTATTTAAGACATGTTTTGGGAGAGATACTTTGAAGGTATGAAATGTCCTATTCCTCCTTAAACTTTCACCTACCAGTTTTATCATTCATCAGTAGATTCTGCCTGCAGCAGTTATTACTGTGGTGTTCTAATGGTGATTTTCTATTTCCCTTGTTTCTTCTGCAATTATTAATTGAAATTCTGAAAAGAGAATTGTTCCATTTATGTATTTGTGTATGTATTTATTCATTCAATCATTCGTTTATATCATATGGACTGATGGATATTTATTTTACAAATCATAGCATGGTAAAACATAATCTGACTCTCTATATCCTGCCTCCATACACTGTTATTATTAATATTATTATTATATTGGGCCCTGTGGATAATACAGAGTGGGAACAACAAAAATATTTACACTTCTTTACACCACTATTTCATATTGTTGAGGGGAGTGTCTAGGCACTGACTAGAGTTATTGGAACAAGAAATAGTGATGTAAGCCAATTATTTAAAGTAGCAAAAATAACTAGTAAAGGAACTAAATATGATGTAATTATCAAACTTTGGAGGGGTGAAGAAGGGCTGGTATATGTAAACCAAATCCTCATCAGTAATATTGTCTACATTCAAAACATCACGAGAGCTTTAATCATGTAATTTGGAGTTAAGTATTTGAAACCACAGATGTTTTAGACAAATTGCCTTTCCAAGTTAGTAAAAGATGGATTGTTTAATAAGTGGTATTGGGACAACTGGGAGGTTTAAGCAAAACGTAGTTTGACCTATACGTCACACCTTACACAAGGAACATCTCTAGCTTGATGGAGTATTTTTTTGTTGTTTTTGTTTTTTTTAAGGGCTATTTCTTAAATTTTTTTTTTTTAACATTTATTCACTTTTGAGAGACAGAGTGCGAGCCAGGGAGGGGCAGAGAGAGAGAGAGAGAGAGAGGGAGACCCAGAATCCAAAGCAGGCTCCATGCTTGGAGATGTCAGCACAAAGCCCCACATGGGGCTCCAACCCCTGGACCCCGACATCATGACCTGAGCTGAAGTCGAAGGTTTAACTGACTGAGCTAAGGTTCCTAGCTGAACTGGGTTCCAAGAACCCCTAGAATATTTTAGGTTAAAGAAAGAAACCACTAAAGTACCTGAGGAATTTATGGAACAACCTTAAAAAAAAAATCTGGGAGTAGAGACTGCTTTGCTAGCTGTGATACTAAATGCAGAAACCTTAAAAGATCTTAACATTCAATACATAACTTTAAAAATCCGTTTTGCAAACTCCATTACATCAAAAAATAACTGGGAAAAATATCTGGGTTCATTTCATAGTCAAAAAGCTAATTATCCGTGTGTAAAAAGAGCTATGAAATCAATAAGGTGCCAAGAATTCCACATTGTACGATTCCATTTGTATGAAATTTTCAGAGAAAACAGAAGGTGGATCAGTGGTTTCTCCTGAGGCTGGGAGGGGGAGTGACTGAAAATTGGTACAAGAGGACTATTTGAGGTGATGGAATTTCTAGATGTCTTCTGCGGGATCAGAATCCCCTCTGGCTGAGAATCATTGCACTAGTGTTTATTGAAGGCCCCTTATGTCCCACATACTGTTGGGAGTGCCCATCCATACTGTGGGGATGGATACAAGCATTATTCATCCGTTGATGTGGGAATCAAAAGGCATAAAATTGGTCTAACATAAAGTGTAAGTGGGGGTGCTTGGGTGGCTCAGTGGGTTGAGCGTCCGACTTTGGCTCAGGTCATGATCTTGCAGTTCCTGGGTTTGAGCCCTGTGTCTCGTTCTGTGCTGTCAGCACAGAGCCTGCTTCAAAACCTCTGTCCCCTTCTCTCCTTGCCCCTCCCCTTCTCTCTCTCTCTCTCAAAAATAAATATTTTTCAAAAAATGATATAAAAAATAAATGTGTGTGTGTGTGTGTGTGTGTGTGTGTGTGTGTGTGTTAGGGTGGGGTGCATTGGGGGCAACGAGGAAGAATCAAAAAAACTTCCTAGAAAAAGTGACCTTGCGTGAAGACTTGAAAGGTGGGTAGGGGTTAAGTAGGAGTTAGACCCTTGAGAGGGAGCACAGGTAGATTTGCACCCAGAGCCAGCAACAGGTACAAAAAAAGGCAGTGTGGTCCAGAGTCTTGAGGAACTGAGCAAAGTTCTTTTGGGCGAAGAAGGCAGTGTGGCCTGGGAAGGTGGCAGGTAGAGGCCAGGTCATGTGACAAGTTTCAAAGTTTCTACTTGAATGACCTCAAGCTTAGTATAGTTTTTAAAACATATTTTATAGAAGAGCAGTAATTCCATTGCTTAAGTACTCAGATGTTGTGCCTCTTGAGGTATGGGAAAACATATAAGAACTGTCAGGAATTTACTCAGGTGATGAATCACATAGCCACAAATAATTATTTTTATTATTTAGGAAGTACACATTGAACTCATATTACTTACTGCATGTTAGATGCCGTTATAAAGTGCTTTATGAAAATTAACTCATTTAATCATCATGACAACCCTACCAGGTAGTTGCTATTTTTTTTAGCAGCTTTGTTGAGGTATAGTTTACATATATAAAATTCACCTGTTACAAGCATACCATTCAGTGATTTTTATTAAATGCATAGAATTGCGCAACCATCACCATGACCCTGTCTTGGAATATTAATGCCACTCCCAGCCCTCATCTCAGGAATCCACTGGTCTACTTTCTGTCTTCATAGATTTGCTTTTTCTGGAAATTTATATAAATGGAATCACATAATATATAGTTTTTTTCTGGCTTCTTTCACTTTGTATATTTTTGACATTCATCCATGTTGTAGCATATATCAGTAATTTTTCTTTTTTTTTTTCATTTTTTAAAGTTTATTTGTTTATTTTTGAGAGGGCAGAGAGAGGAAGAGAATCCCAAGCAGGTTCTTCACCGTCAGCACAGAGCCTGACATGGGGCTTGAACTCATGGATCTCAAGATCATGACCTGAGCCAAAATCAAGAGTTGGATGCTTAACCAACTGAGCCACCCAGGTGGCTTTTTTACTTCCTATTGCTGGATAATATTTTGTATTGCTGGATGGTATTTGCTGGATCGTAGTTTTTTACTTCCTATTGCTGGATAGTATTTTGTGTATGGATGTACCACATTTTGTTTATCTATTCACCAGTTGATGGGCATTTGGGTTATTTCTAGTTGTGGGCCATTAGGAA